CTGAACCTGGGTAAGCTGGGTGTAAGGCAATTCCCTGTCCTCTGTACTATTGCTCTGGCTCCTCTCTGAATGTCTTAACATTGGGCTAATTAACTTTTTTCATGTTACTTTGGGGCCACATCCAGTGACGCTGCTAGCATAGGAGCTACTTTTGTCTTGGTGCTCAGGGGTCACTTCTAGCATGCTGGCTCTGGAGTAACCATGAACCAGGGATTGAATCTGGTTTTCCTGTATGCAGAGTACGCATTCCTTTGAGCTGTTGAGCTGCCTTTCCAGTTCCCAAAGTGGAAATTAAAAAATTTTTAAAAAAGGGCAACCTAATAATGCTATTCATTTTAGTTTTATAATTGTTTTATCTTCATCTATATCATTAATTCAGCAGAAAGTTTTACATGATCATTTTGTATTCCATTGTCTTAATGTGGTAAAGTGAATCTAGATTTTATTGATACGATTTACAAGAGATTAAAAGTTGAAAGTTGGTAGGAAGTAGTAGCTGTTGACGTTTTGTTTTATACTCAGAGGGCAGCATTTTCTTTTTAAATTTTTATTAGTGAAACACCATGAGGTACAGTTGTAGACTTACAGACTTTTGTGCTTGGGTTTCAGTTATACAGTGATTGAGTACCCATCCCTCCACTGGTCCCCATTCCCCACCTCCAATGCTCCCAGCATCCCTCCCACCCCTGGCAGCAGTATTTTTTTAAGTGATAACATTTCAAGGGATAGATATATCTACTTTCTCTTCTTCTATATATATATTCTTTGCTCTATGTTAGGGAATAGTCATGTTAAGAATATAGTTTTTGTAATTACTTTTCAAAGAGAAGTTAGCCTATAATGTATTTAGATTTCTCAGATCTGTTTCAGCCTTAACAACTATGATGAACTAGATAAGACTTACTGTGTAGCATGGTTTTATTTATAGAATGAATCTGTATGTTGCACTGTCTTTCTGAAGACATATAGGAAAATGTCCTTCCTTTACAAGTTGATTAAAAAACTGGATCTGGGAGTCGGAGCGATAGCACAGTGGGCAGGGCATTTGCCTTGCACATGGCCGACCCGGGTTCGATCCCCGGCATCCCATTTGGTCCCCCAAGCACCGCCAGGAGTAATTCCTGAGTGCAGAGCCAGGAGTGACCCCTGAGCATTGCTGGGTATGACCCAAAAAAGGCCAAAAGAAAAAAAAAAAAGAAAAAAAACCCTGGATCTGAAGACATTTTCATCTATTCCAGAAAAGCCATTCTTCCCCTACCACTAAGTACTATAATCCGTTGTTTATCATGAGAGAACTGTTGCCATCTGTCATAATGATTCTGAAATAATTGATTATGCTCACTTTCCTTGAATGTTTAGCTTGAGGTTATTTATCTCTCCATTTTGAGGAGCCATTTAGCCCCGGCAGTACTCAGGGGCTTCCTATAACTGGACCTGTGCTCAGGAATGACCCCTTGTGGTTCAGTGCAGTCCTGGGAATCAAACCAGATTTGGCCACATGAAAATTGATTTCCTTAACTCCTATTTCTTCAGCCCTCCATATTTTTGTTTTCAGGTCATACCCAGCAAAGCTTAGGGCATACACGGGCTCTGCACTGAGAAATTACATCTGACGTTCTTAGGGAACAATATAGGATGCTTGGGATTGAACCTAGGTTGGCGGCATGTAAGGCAAATCCCTACCCACTGTTCTACTGCTGAGGCCCTGTTACTGATATTTCTTATAGAATATTGTAAAATAGTTTTTTTCAAGTTCTACATTTTTTAGAAATACAACAGTATTACATTGTAGAACTTGCATTCTTTTGGTTTGTTTTTAGGCCACCACCCAGTGGTGTTCTGGGATTACTCTGGGCTCTGTACTCAGGAATCACTCCTGGCTGTGCTTGGAGGACCAAGTGTGGGGTTTTTTTTGGTTTTTTTTTGTTTGTTTTGTTTTTGTTTTTTGCTTTTTGGGTCTTACCCGGTGATGCACAGTGGTTACTCCTGGCTCTGCACTCAGGAATTACCCCTGGCAGTGCTCAGGGGACCATATGGGATGCTGGGAATCGAACCCTGGTCGGTCGAGTGCAAGGCAAATAAATACCCTACCCGCTATGCTATCCCTCCAGCTCCTCGGAAGACCAAGTGTAGTGCTGGGATCAAACCCCAGGTTGGCTGCATGCAAAGCAAGCATCCTACTGACTCTGGCTTGAGCTTTTATTCTTTATTTAACTCTTTGCTAGTTAAAAATAGAGTGGTTGGGGCAGGGGCCCAGAGTGATAATACAGCAGATAGTATGCTTACCTTGCATACAGCCGACCCAGGTTTGATTCCTGGCATCCCATATCGTCCTTTGAGCACTGCCAGAAGTAATTCCTGAGTACAAAGTCAGGAGTAACCCTTGAGCATCACCAGGTGTGCCACTTCTCCCACCCCTCCTCCCCACCACCAAAAGAAAGAAAAGAGTTTGGGGAACAGAGTGATATAGCAGATAGGGCATTTGCCTTGCATGTGGCCGACCCGGGTTTGATTCCCAGAGTCCTGTATGGTTCCCTGAACAACTCCAGGAGTGATTCCTGAGTGCATAGTATGCCCTGAGAATCACCAGGTATGGCCCCAAAATCCACAATAAAAATAATAATTACAGAATATGGGACAGGAGCAAGAGTACAGTGATTTCTAAGTACAAAGCATGGAATAAACCCTTAGAACATCTGGGTATGACTGCGAAATTTATAAAAAAACAAAGCAAAAAAAGTAAGCAGTAGGTTAGATGAACTCTGTAAGTTTGTAATTAAATTTATGAATTTAAGATGCTAACTTACTGCATTTTATATTCTCTCAGTTAACATCTAAATAGAATTTGGGCAAGGGCTCTGTGGGTCAGGGAGAGCTGAAAATAGTACAGCTAGTATGTAGCTTTCCTTGGCATGTGGCCAACCTTGGTTTTATCCCTTGCACTGTTTATGGTCCCCTGAGTACACCCAGAAGTAACTTATTGAGCACAGAGCCACCCTGAGCATTTCCTGGTGTGGCCCCAAAACCAAAAAAATCAAATAGAAATTTAAGGAAGGACATTAAGCAGTTAAAGGGAACTGTAACTATAATATACCAATATTATTTTTATGGGGATAGGGATTTTGGGCCACATCCAGACAATGCTTAGAAGTTACTTCTGGCTGTGTGCTAGAGTTAGCTCCTTGCAGTGTTGGGGGGAACAATCTGGTCCCAGTAATCCAACCCAGGCCTCCCCGTGTAAAGTATGCACTGAGCCCATTGAGCATCTCTGATGCCCAAATTGTTTATTTTTTTTTTATATGCCGTAGATTTTGTTTTTGTTTCTGTTTCGGGCTACACCCAGCAGTACTGGGGTTATTACTGGCTCTGCACTCTGGAATCACTCCTGGCAGTTCTTGGGGGACTATATTAGATGACAGGGATTGAACCTTTGTTGGCTGTGTGCAAGGCAGATGCCTTACTGTAGATAATTTTTTTGTAAAAGTGAAATATTTTTAACTTATAGACTGCTTACTTAATTATATTAGTGTTTTTTTCTAGTAAAAGTAAAAATTTGGGTGGTGGGGAGGTGTGTGAACAAGCAAGTGGTAAGCAAGTACTCTACTACTGAGCTGTGTTCTTGGCTCCTATAATTAATGTTTTGGCATGAGGGGTGGGATAGGAATGAGACTGGGGTAAATGCCTTGCCTCCTGTACTATATTTCTATTCCCCTATTTGTCATTTTTGGTTTTGGGGCCACAGGACTTACTGGTGGGTCTCAGGGCTTACTTCTGGCTCTGCTCTCAGATGTTACTCTGTCCAGTGCTCAGGGGACTATATTGGGTGCTGTGGATTAAACTTTGGTTGACCTTGTGCAAGGCTTGCTCTACTGTCTCACTGACCTATCTTTGTACACAGCCGACCCGGGTTCAATTCTTCCGCCCCTCTCAAATAGGCCAGCAAGCTACCGAGAGTATCTCGCCCGCATGGCGAAGCCTGGCAAGCTAACCATGACGTATTCAATATGCCAAAAAACAGTAACAAGTCTCACAATGGAGATGTTACTGGTGCCTGCTCAAGCAAATCGAAAACGGGAGGACAGTGACAGTGATTTTTGGTTTTGATTAATACCCAATAGTGCTCAGAACTTAACTTCTGACTCTGTGCTGAGGGATCATTCCTTGTAAGGGTCAAGAGACTATATTGGTTAACTCGGATCAAACCTGGGTCGGCCACTATCTGCTGTATTTTCTCACTGGCTCTCATCTTTGTCATGTTAGCATTTAATTACTGTCATTGTTCCCTCTCACTTAAAGTTTTAAATATTTTGAGGGAATATTATGATAGAGAAAATCATGTTCACATAACTTCCATAGTGTTTTTTTTTTTTAATTTATTTTGGAAAGAAATTATAAGTGTGTGTGTGTGGTGGTGGTGGTGGTGTTGTTGTGGGGGGCACATTGTTTGATGTCCAGGACTTCCTCCTGTCTCTGTACTCAGGAATCACTCCTGGCATTGCTCAGGGGAGTATATAAGATGCTGGGTATTGAACCCCGGTTGGCCTGCCACAGAAACATCCCATGCCCCCTGTGCTAGCTTTCTTGCACCCCTACTAGTTTTTTTTTTATTATTACCTATTTTTTTTATCTCTTACTGTACCTAATTTATAAATGATTTATACTGATTATATGTAGGAAAGAACAGTATATGTAGGGTTAAATTCTGACTGCAATCTCAGGCATCCACTGTGGGTTTTAAAATTTATTCCCTAAGGGAAAACTGTTGTTGAATAATCTTTGAAAAGGTTTTGTTTGTTTTTGGGCCACACATGGATGTGCTTAGTCTGTGCTCAGGAATCACTATTGGCAGGGCTGGTATGGCAGATATCAAATCCAGGTAAAATGCATGCAAGATGAGTTCTCTACCTTTTGTTCTATCTCTTCAGACCCCCTCTTTGAAGTGGTTTATTTGTGTATTCTTTGACTAATTGTGGTCTCTTTTTTTTTCTTCTATTGTTTAGTCCAAAAGAAACTTTACCTTCAAAACCTGTAAAGAAAGAAAAGGAACAAAGGACACGTCACTTGCTCACAGACCTCCCTCTTCCTCCAGAGCTTCCAGGGGGAGATCCATCTCCTCCAGACTCTCCAGAACCAAAGGCAATCACACCACCTCAGCAACCGTATAAAAAGAGACCAAAGTGAGTTTTTTAAGGAAACTTTACTTATAGTAGTTTTTCTTTTTTTTAATAATTTTTTTCTATTGCATCACTGTGAGATTGACCCTTACAAAGCTGTTCATGATTAAATTTCAATCATACAGTGTTCAACACCCTTTCCTCTACCAGTGTACATTTCCCAGCACTTAGTATCTCCAGTTTTCCTCATTCCCCCCACCTCCCCTCATCTCTCTCCCTCTCTCTACCTCCACCCTTTCAGGCATTGTGATTTGCAAATATAGATACTAAAAGGTGATCATGTATATCCCTTTACCTACTATTATTGTCATACTGGTCCCTTCGCTATTTTACCTACCCTCTGCTCCACACATACTTGTGGTAGATACCAACCATTGACCAGTCCTCCTAGCCCCTGTTTTCCCTGGCCTCAGACATTAGTCTTCTACTATTTTTTATATATATATATATACCACAAATGAATGCAGTCATTCTCTGTCTCTCTACTTATGACTCATTTAACTTAGCGTGATACTCTCTATGTCTTTCTATTTATAGGCACATTTTATGACTTCTTTTTTTCCTAATTGCTGCGTAGCATTCCATTGTGTAGATATGCCATAATTTCTTTATCCATTCACCTGTTTTTGGGCACTCAGAGTGTTTGCAGATTCTGGCTACTGTGAATAGTACTGCAGTGAACATAAAAGTGCATAGTTTCTGCTGTGTGTTTTTTTTTGCCCCCAGAGTATATTCCCAGAAGTAGTATTACTGGGTCAAATGGAAGCTCAATTTTCTAGTATTTTGATGAATGTCCATATTGTTTTCAAAAAAAGGTTGGACTAGTATCCCCTTCTCCCCCTTTTTTTCCTTCCTTTTGGTTTTTGAAGTATTCACTGCTTTGTGCTTAGGTTCACTCCTGGTCATGCTTAAGTGGCCATGTGGTACAAGTGATCAAACCCAGGTCTCCTGTATAAAATCATGTGTTATAAGTAGTAAGTAGGGCACTTGCCTTGCATATGGGCAGCCCAGGTTCAATTCCAGACCCATATATGGTCCCCTGGGCCTTTCTATGCAGAAAACGTGCTCAGGGCCCAAGAGATAGTACATTCTTACATGCAATGTAAGTGCAGTACTACTGAGCTACGTTCAGTGGGTGGGGTGCTTGCCTTGGACAGGACTGATTGAGGTTCAGTCCCCAGCATCCTATATAGTCCCCTAAGCATTTCCAGAAATAATTCTTGAATGCAAACCCAGGAGTAACCCCTGAGCATTGCTGGGTGTGCCCTCCCAAATAAGAAAAAATATATGTTCAACCTGTTAAACTATCTCTCTGACCCCTAGTTATAGCTTTTTCCTTTAGCTTTGAGCATAAATACCAGATTTTATACCACAGTCCATAACAGTAGGGTCATAAGTAGGGCTAAATGTGCATCTTTTAAACAATATTTTGTTGGTAGTGGCTTTTGGCCATAATCAGCATTGCTGAGCCTGGTTGGTTGGACTATTCCTGGCTCTCTGTTCAAGAATCACCCTTGGTGATGCTTGGGTAACGATATGTAGTGCTGGGAATTCATACCAGCATTTTAGCTGCCACACCTATATACAAGTCCGGTGCCTTACCTTCTTTCTGTACTATCTCTTTAGCCCCCAAATATACCTTTTTTTTTTTTTTTACTTTGTTTTTGGTCCACACCTGGGAGTACACAGGGCTAATTCCTGGTTTTTTCGCTCAGGGATTACTCCTGGTGGGGCTTAAGAGACCACAATATGGTGTCAGGATTGAACCTGAGTTGGCTGCGGGCTAGGCAAGTGCCCTACTCACTGTATTATTGCTCCAGCCCACTGTATTTTTAGTGGATAAAACCCTTCCTTAGAGAACCTTTTATCTGTGTAAGTAAAATTTAGGGACAATCTGTGTTAATAGCAAAGCTATAATTTTCCAAGTTCAAATATACTGTGAACAGTGCTCTCCTTTAAGGAATGATTCCCTTTTTGGGCCAGAATGACAGTATAATGGGTAGAGCATTTGCCTGGCACATGTCTGACCCAGCAGGTTTTATCCCCAGCACACTATGGTCCCCTGAGCTGTGCCAGGAATGATCCCCTGACCTAAGAGGCAGGAGTAAGTACTGAGCATTCCTGAGTGTGCCCGAAGCTGTCTTCTTCCCCCACACTTCTTTTCTCCTCCCGCAGAAAAGGGGGGAAAATGTCCTTTTACTCAGGGTAATATCAAGTATGTACACCTTAGTGAAAATAGATGGGGGATTTTCCTCCCCCAGAGCATTTGTATAGTAGTATCTGTGGGTTTTTGTTTGTTTTGTTGTTAGTTTTTGGACCATTCCCAGCAATTCTTAGGGATTGCTCCTAGCTCTGCACTCAGGAATCATTCCTGATGGTGCTTGGAGGACCATATGGGATGTTTGGATAAGCTGCATGGCAAACACTCTACATGCTGTACTATCTCTGGCCCAATGTAGTAGCATCTGAATTAAATTCCTGATTATTAAGATTCCTTTCATTGATAAAAAAATATTCAGTACTATTGCCAAAATTTTGTATTTTTATAGTAAACCTATGATGTAGGGATTCTTCCTCTATTTTGTTTTTGGGAAGGCCATGCCCAGTTGTATTTGGGAGCTATTTCTGGTTCCTTTGTCAGAGGTCACTCATGGTTATGTTCTGGAGACTGTGTGGTGCTGGGAATTGAACTGGGGTCAGCTGTGTGAAAGAAAGCAACCCTAATCCTTGCACTTTCATTCTGGCCCTATTTTATCTTTGTTTTTTTTTTTTTTGTCATATCTGGGAATGCTCAGGGGTTACTCCCAATTTGGTGCTGGGGGTAGGCATTGGGGTGTCACACCTAGTAATGTTGGGGTTAGGGTTGGATCCAGATTTTCTGCATATTTCCTTCAGATGCCAGAGAGATAGTACAGTGGGTAGGGTGCTTGACTTGCACACAGGCAACCTGGGTTCTATCCCTGACAACCTTTGTGGTCTCCAGAGTGCCACCAGGAGTGACTCTGATGTGTGGAATTAGGAGTAACCCCTGAGTATAGTTAGGTGTGCCTCAAACAACAATAACAAAAAAAACAAAAACCCAAAGCATTTGCTTTAGTCCACTTAGCTATTATTTCAGCCTCTATTTCCTATTTTATACTTGAGTCAGAAAGAGAGCTCAGAAAATAAGCTCTCACTGTCACTGTCCTCCCGTTGTTTATCGATTTTTCTTGAGCGGGCCCAGTAATGTCTCCATTGTGAGACTTTGTTGTTACTGTGTTTGGCATATTGAATACGTCATGGGTAGCTTGCCAGGTAAACAAATAAATAAACAGCTCTATTTTATCTTCTATCTTCCGAAAGCTACAAGTTTGTGTCTTAGTTACTATGGGAAACCATTGATTTCTTATCATTTGACTCCTGCTTTAGTATTCATTTATGTTACTTATTTTGGAGATCCAGGGATTGAACCCTGGATTTCACGTGCAAAAGCCTGCTCTAGCCCCAGCCCAGATTTCTGCCCTTTTTGTGTGTGTGGGGGGGGGGGGGCAGGGGAGGGCATACCCTATGATACTCAGGGGTTACTCCTGCACTCAGGAATCACTTCTAGTGGAATTCTGGGATCAAACCTGAGTAGGCCACACATAAGGCAAATGCCCTGCCCACTGTACTTTCTCTCCAGAGCCTAGATTTCTGCCTTTTTTATAAGGAAAATCATTAAAGATTCAGGGTCTGGTGAAATCATTGAAGACTTCTATTTTCATCTTTGAATAGTCAATATTGATAATAAGTATTTTTACTTTTGTTTTGCCTCTTAGAATATGTTGTCCTCGTTATGGAGAAAGAAGACAAACAGAAAGTGATTGGGGAAAACGATGTGTAGACAAGTTTGACATTATTGGGATTATTGGAGAAGGAACCTATGGACAAGTATATAAAGCCAAGGACAAAGACACAGGTAAGTAATGCTATAAAACTTTATAAATCAGGGCTGGAGCAATAGCATAGCGGGTAGGGCGTTTGTCTTGCACACAGCCGACCCGGGTTTGATTCCGAGCATCCCATATGACCCCCTGAGCATTGCCAGGAGTGATTCCTGAGTGCAGAGTCAGAAGTAACCCCTGAGCATTGCCAGGTGTGACCCAAAAAGCAAAAAAAAAAGAAAATTAGTTCTTAAAGATAAAAGTAATTTGAATCAGGCCAGAACTGTAGTACGGTAAGGAACTTTACCTGTTCTGGCCAACCCAGGTTTGATTCCCCAGCATTCCATATGGAATCTTGAGCACTGCCTGAAGTGATTCCTGAGTGCAGAGCCAGGATTAAGCAGGATTAAGCCCTGAGCATCCCTGTGTATGGTTACACACACACACACACACACACACACACACACACACACACACACCCCTTCCCCACCCACACACAACCCCCACGAAAAGAAACTAATTTGAATTTTTTTTTTTGCTCAGGGATTATTCCTGGCTCTGCACTCAGGAATTACTCCTGGCAGTACTTGGGGGACCATATGGGATGCCAGGGATTAAACCCAGGTTAGCCATATGCAAGACAAGCACCCTACACACTATACTATTGTCCGGCTCCTGATTTGAATTATTGTTTTTTAAATAATCTGAAGTTTTCAGCTGAATTTATTTTTTGGGCCACACTCAGCAGTGCTTAGGGTTTACTCCTTCCTCTGTGTTCAGGGGTCACTCCTGGTGTTGCTCGGGGGACTTTATGGGATGATGAAAATTGAACCTGAGGTGCTAGGGATTGAACTTGGTTTGGCTGTGTACCAATCAAACTTCTTTCCTGCTGTACTGTATGTTCAGCCTTTAACTGAAAGCCGAATCAAAAATTTTAAGTCTTGGGGATAGAGAGATGACTCAGTGTGCTGAACACATGCTTTATTTGTGGGAGTTCTGAATTTAGGTCTCAGCGCCGTGTCACTGCTAGGAGCAGTTTTCCAACGCTGTAGGTCTGATCACCCCTACACCACATCCCACCAACAAAACAAAAAAGTTTTAGGTTTTTAAAAGTAGGACTAAATAAAGAAATATATATTTTTTCCTTTTCATTTTCTTTTTTTGGGGGGATGCTTTTGGGGTCACACTTAGCAATGCTCAGTGGTTACCCCTGGCTCTGCACTTAGGAAATACAGTGCTCAGGGAACCATATGGGATACCAGAGATCAAAGCCTGATCAGCCATGTGCAAGGCAAGCACCCTGTCTGCTGTAATACTACAGGCCCAAAAGGACTGTATTTTTACATAACAAGTTATAGTTATTGGGAACATAGTATTTATTAGTTAAAAGACAGGGTTGTAATTCAGCTATAACAATTACCAGATATGAGGGCATTCTGGCTGTGACTTCTGTTACCCCATTGATTGCCGGGGTTGATCTCAGTTGATCTAACTGGCTAGGCGGGTGTTTCCTTCCTCCCCCACTGCTTCATGTGCATCCCTCCCGAAGCTGCATGCTCAGTGGAAGAGGATGGCCTTGCTCAAATGGAGATGATCTTCAGTCGAGGGTATACAAGTAGCTGCACTCCCCTGCTCGAACCTCTAAACAAGCTCTCAGTTACCGTCCATGTATGAGGCCCAGCGCCACAAAAAATAAACTTGAAGTCTGTCTTCTAGAATAAAGCTGTATATCTCTTCCTAATGGTGATAGGTTCATATTGGTGGCTAAAAAAATGCTAATTGTAATAATAATGAATTGAATCTGTTATGACAGGAGAGCTAGTGGCCTTGAAGAAGGTGAGACTAGACAATGAGAAAGAGGGTTTTCCAATCACAGCGATTCGTGAGATCAAAATTCTTCGTCAGCTCATCCATCGAAGTGTTGTTAACATGAAGGAAATTGTCACCGATAAGCAAGATGCTCTGGATTTCAAGAAGGACAAAGGTACTAGAAACATGTATCTATAGGGTGACTGGGTTTTGTACTCTGTTTTCCTTTTATCTTGTGTGTCTCTTTGAATTTTTTAGTAGGCCATGCTAAAGTCCAGTTTCTTTCTTTAATCAATATCAGAAGATATTAGCATGTCTTATGATAAAGTTATTTTTTAAATATCTATTTTTTATCATCATATTTATAGAAAATACAAAGAATTTGGACTTTTCAATAGATCATTGTAAAATCCAACTTTTAAATTTATTTTTGGTTTTTGTGCCACAACCAACAATGCTAAGGGATTACTCTTGGCTCTACACTCAGGAATTAGTCCTTCTGATACATAGGGAACCAAATGGAATACTGGGAATCAAAGAGTCTGACTTGGCTGTATGCAAGGCAGATACCCTACCCAGTGTACTCTCTCCAGCTCCTCCAGCTTCTTCTTTTTTTTTTCCCTTGGGTGTGTGTTGGGGAGCTTGGGGGGCACACCTGATGATGCTCAGGGGTTACTCTTGGTTCTGCACTCAGGAATCACTCCTGGCATTGCTTGGTTGACCATGTGTGGTGCCAGAGATTGAACCCAGGTCCCTTGCATGCAAGGCAAGGGCCCTACCCCTGTACTGTTGCTCCACCTCCTGAAAATACAGAATCTTTAATCCACATCAGAATTAACATATTGGGGCTGGAGAGATAGTACAGCAGCTTGCACACAGCTGACCTCATGGGTTCCCCAAACATTGCCAGGAGTAATTCCTGAGTAAGATCCTCACTTTCTACCAGTGCTTTAGTCTTCATTTTTTTTTTCAATTTTGGTGGGTTTAGGCCATATCTAGCAGTGCTCAGGGGCTACTCCTACACAGTTCTTGGTGACCATGCAGTGCCAGGGATACACCCAGGACTCTAGCATGTAAAGAGTATACTCCAGAGTCCTAGAGATAGTATAGTGGGTAAGATGCTTGCCTTGCATGCAGCTGACTGGGTTTGATCTCCAGTACCCCATTTGGTCCCTGAATCTTGCCAGGAGTGATCTCTATGCACATAGCCAGGACTGAGCACTGAGCAGCTCCTTACGTGGCCCCAAATTAAAGAATATACTCCATTGCTTTGAATCATCTTCTCAGCCCAGTCTTTTGGTTTTGGCCATACCTGATGATACTGACTGTTCACTCCAGGTGGAGTTCTCAGGAGATCATACAATACTGGTGAATCAAATCCATACTTCCAGCAAGCGGGCATTATTCCAGTTATTTGAGATATGTCTCCAGCTCCATTTGTCTTTTTGTTTTGTTTTGTTTTGGCTACATCTGCCAGTATTCAGGCTTGCTAACTCCTAGTCTGCTTTCAGGAGTCAATCCTGGCATTGCTCAGGGCACTATATGTGGTACTTGGGATCAAACTTGGGTTGACTGTGTGCCAGGCAACTTAATTTATCTCTGTCCTCCAGGAAAGCAAACAAAATTTAAATCAGTAGCTTGATTGTTTATGGGCTGGCGCGATAGCACAGCAGTAGGGTGTTTGCCTTGTGTGCAGCCAGCCCGGCTAGCTGGGTTCGATTCCTCTGCCCCTCTCGGAGAACCCGGCAAGCTACCGAGAGTATCTTGCCCGCACGGCAAAGTCTGGTAAGCTACCTGTGACGTATTCAATATGCCAAACATAGTAACAAGAAGTCTCGCGACGGAAACATTACTGGGCCCACTCGAGCAAATCGATGAACAACGGGAGGATAGTGCAGTGCAGTGATTGTTTATACTTATAGTTATTATTTTGGGGACTGCATTTATTTTGCGAAGAAAGTAAAAGCAGGTTTTACTCCTATCTACAACAAATGAACCTAATTCAGCTAAATAATTGTTTTTTTTTGGGGGGGGGGTGGGGGCTATTCCTGGCAGTCTTGGGACTACTTTTGACTTTGTGTTCAGGGATCACTCATGACAGGATCAAGTGACTGTATGGGATGCTAGGGAATCAGACTGTTGTACTACCTGGCCCCTGCGGCTATATCTTAACATAGTTTTGTTTTGATGGTTTAAAATTTAGAGCATTTATTTGTAAAACATTCTTGTTAAGTCACATAGTGGTTTATAATTTCTGTTTCTGGGAGATAAAGTTATTTATTTTTTCCATGCTTAAGTTTGACTTATTTTTGTTTATTGATACACAATGTTTGAAGTAGTATCTGATACCTAACCAAGTCTGAGATGGCAAGCATATGAGATGGTATTTGTGAATATCGTCTAGATTGTTAAGGAAAGTATGATTGAAGTACAGAAAATTGGGACGTTAGTAATAGGTCCAGAGAGATAGCTCAGTGAGCTGAGCCCGTGCTTTGCATTAAGGAGGCCCAGGGCACCACCAGTAGCACAGAACCTCAATGATTAATACTAGGGAAATAGAAAGTCTTGAATTAATGAGAAAGGTTTTAAAGCAATTAAAGGAAGTTCTGTAATAGTATTTAGATAAATTTGTGAATGAAAGATTTCTGTAGAATTAAGAATACTAGATAGTTTTGGAGTATTAATTTTTTTTCTGGACATAATATGATACACTGCTGGCAGAGAGATAGCTCAGAAGGTGGGATTAATGTTTTACATGATGGAGCCTCTGTTCACTCCCTGGCACCTCTCCACATGGTTCCTCAAGTAACAGTGGGAGTAGCCTGTGATCATTGCTGGGTGTGGCCCAAAATAATAAAAGATGAAGAAATTAAGGATGCATAAAAAATGTTAGTTGCTTCTAAAGAGGGACTTTTAAACCTGTGCCACTTGTAATATTTAAATGATTTATTATGATGTTTAAACTTTTCATAAAAAGAGCGTGGCAAGAAGTGCAACAGGCAAGGCACTTGCTTGCACACCACAATTAATTCTGGAACACAGCTTGTTTAAAGCATCTTGCACCTGGCTGGGTTGAGTTTGAGCCCCAGGGCCCCATATAGGCCTTCAAACACTGCCAGGAGTGATCCCTCAATACTGAGTTGAGACTAAGCCCTGAGCACCACCATGTGTGACCCAAACCATCCCTATTAAAAAAAAAAAATTATAGGGGCAAGAGAGATAGTATAGTCAGTATGGTGCTTGCCTTGCACGTTGCCGACCTGGGTTCGATCCCTGGCATCCCATAAGATTCCCTGAGCATTGCCAGGTTTTTGCCAGGCCCAAAAATTTAAAAAACAAAAACAGAATAAATAAAATAATAAAAAGAATAAGTATGTGGGATACCTGCCCATTTTAGGAAATACGAAAACATGGGAGAATAAGAAAGGGAAAGTTGGAATCAGTTCTTCATCCCTGTGTACCACCACCCATAGAAAACTACCATATCATTTTGACATTTCTTTGAAGTTATTATTCATGCTACATTTATTTTGCCATAACTGAGATAAAAGTATATTTAGTACTTTGTAACTTGTCATAAGCAGCTTTCTATATCACTAACATGATTTTTTAATTTTGTTTTTGTTTTGTTTTTGGGTCACACCCTGTGGTTCTCAGGGTTTATTCCTGATTCTGAGCTCAGGAATCATTCCTGGTGGTGTCGGGGAACTATATGGGTATTCAATCCAGGTCAGCTGTACCTGCACGAGTACATAAGGTGAACGCTCTATCTGCTGTTCTTTCACTCTGGCCCCTATCATTATCTTGGGGATTTTTTTTTTTTTTGGTCACATCTGGCAGTGCTCAGGGGTTACTCCTGGCTCTGCACACAGTAGTTACCCTGGTGGTGCTTAGTATTAGGCCTGGGTTGGCTACATGCAAGGAAAATACCCTACTCACTGTAGTATCACTCCAGTCCTGGCCCCTATCATTAATATGTTTTAATGATTGCACAAAGGTATAGGAATCCAACTTTCCTTGTCCCTGTTTAGCAAGTCTGAGGATGCTCAACAGTTTAGGGACTGGAGAGAGAGAGCTCAGTGGGCTGAGCGCATACTTTTGTATTCAGGAGATCTGGATTGGAGATCTCCCTTCTTTACCTTATATCATCTCCTAAACAGTGAGCCAGCAGTATCATCTCCTGAGCCCCTGAGCACTGCCATGACTGCAAAAAAGCCACACAAAAAAATCAACAAAAAAAACATAGTGGCAATGCAATAAACATCTGTAATGCTCATGACTTCTTGGGATTACTCCTTTTGGGGCTGGGGGACCCTAAGCATAGGGTTGGCAGTAGGTTCTGAGCTCTGGGCCACTTAATCACTTAATCATTTAACTTCCCGTTAGTCGTCGATTTGCTCGAGCGGGTGCCAGTAACGTCTCCATTTGTCCCTGTCGCATGCTAGTGTGACCCAATGGCGTCTGTTCGCTCTAGGAACATGAAGAGGGTTTTTTTTTGTTTTTTTTTTTTGTTTTTTTTTTTTTTTTTGCTTTTTGGGTCATACCCAGCGATGCTCATCGGTTACTCCTGGCTCTGCACTCAGGAATTACTCCTGGCTGTGCTTGGAGGACTATATGGGATGCCGGGAATTCAACCCAGCACTGTTGCTCCACAATAATAATTTTTAAAGGAGATATACTCAGTGTTAGGGAAGATATACAGGAGAGAGACAAATTGCCTTCTTCTTAAAAGAAACGTAGGGGACTGGAGACAAATCTCTGAATTGCATTAATACATAATTATGTGTTGCCTCTAGCATTTTACATATGTTTTGTTAACTGAAGTACCGTTTTCTACAAAAGTAATCATAGGCTTTTATTATTGTTTTTGCTGTTGTTTGTGTTTGGGGGCCACATCCAGTTGTGCTCAGGGCTTACTCCTGGTTCTGTGCTCAGAGGCTTACTCCTAATGGGGCCACACCTGGCCATCCCCAGGAGTTACTCCTGGCTCTACACTCAGGAATTATTCCTTGAAGTGCTTGGGGACAATGTGGAATGCTGGGGATTGAACCTGGGTCAGCAAATACTCTTTCCTCAGCCCATAAGACTTTTTTTATGGCAGTAAATTGCAGACTGGATTTGGCACAAGATCTGTAGTTTGCTAAATGATTCAGATTGTAAATGACTTGTTGTGTAGTCTAATCGGAGTACTTGTACCCAAAATGTAAGTAGTTCAGAGAGCACTGAACTAGAAATTAAAAGATTAATTCAAATAGTAATTCTGTTGTTTATTTTTTAAAAGGATAAATTACTAAACTGTTTCTGGTTTTAGGTTTTGGGTTTTAAAAGATTTTTTTGTTTTTTGCTCTTTGGGCTAAACCCAGTGTACTCGGACTTACTCCTGGCTCTGTGAGCAGAGATCATGCCTGGTGGGGATTGGGAGACTATATGAGGTGCGAGGGATCAAATCCAGGTCATCCATATGCAGTGCAAGCAGCTGCCCACTCTAGTATCTCTCTGGTCCCAAAGTTTCAGATTGTTAATCTATAAAATTAAATGATTATTTCAGAGAGCTTTATGGAAAATTACATAAAATTTGAAATGTTTTTATTTTAGCATTCTCTTTCTCTTTTCATTTTTCATCTTGTATAGGTGCCTTTTACCTTGTATTTGAATATATGGATCATGACTTAATGGGACTGCTAGAATCTGGTTTGGTACACTTTTCTGAGGACCATATTAAGTCATTCATGAAACAGCTAATGGAAGGATTAGATTACTGTCACAAAAAGAATTTTCTGCATCGTGATATTAAATGCTCTAACATCTTGTTGAACAACAGGTAAAGTACTTACCAAATGAGGTTAAATGTGTTTTCTCTCTCTCCCCTCTTCTTCTCTCTCTCTCTCTCTCTCTCTCTCTCTCTTAATCACCCTCCCTTTAGTTTTGTTAGCTGGGGTCAGAAATAGACCTAATGATGCTGCTTTTAAATTTATCTTATTACTGGTTTTGGGAGCACACCCAGCAATGCTAAGAGGAGGGTGTCGGTATTTTAGGGACTTGCTGCCAGGGATAGAACCTGGGGCTCCTGCTTGCAAAGCAAGTGCTTTAGTCCTTTAAGCTGTCTTCCTGCTTGCTCCCTACTCTTAAATTTTTTGTATGTCTTTCTGACATTTAGCACAGTGGGTAAGACATTTGCCTTGCACACAGCCGACATGACCGACCTGGGTTCAATTCCTCTGTCCCTTGCAGAGAGCTCGGAAGCTACCGAGAGTATCTTGCCCTAACAGCAAAGCCAGTCAAGCTACCCATGACGTATCCAGTATGCCAAAAACAGTAACAACAAGTCTCACAATTTGTTGTGAGACGTTACTGGTGCCCACTTGAGCAAATCGATGAACAACGGGAGGACAGTGCTACAGTGCTTTCTGATATTTGTAATTTAGGAACAACTTGATCACAGGAGAGACTGTGATTAGCATAGTCTCTAGACTCACTGTTAGCAAGGAATTAATAGAGTTAGTAAGGAATTAATATAGTGATGAAAATTTTTCAGATCACATATATTTTAGGGAATCACTCACATCTACAACAGTATTACGAGAACTTGCTGTTAATGAGAAATGTGTTGTGATTTTAGACACAGACATGTTTGGGAATTGACCTTTTGTCTAGCACTTCTCACAGCCTTACTTAAAAAAAAAATTTTTTTTTTGAGGGGTCCACACACGGTAATCTGGTAGTTACTCCTGGCTCTGCACTCAGGAATTACTCCTGGCGGTGCTCTGGGGAACATACGGGATGCTGGGAATCAAACCTGGGTTGGCCTCATGCAAGGCAAATGCCCTACCTGCTGTGCTATTGTTCCATCCCCACAGCCTTAAATATATATATATATATTTTAATAAAAAGCAATTAGAGTATTTTAATAGCACTCTATCCAGTAAGGTTGGCAGCATGCTGTACTAGGTATCAAACTCGGGCTATACCACTTGAGCCATATCCTGGAACACCAGCCAGATTTTTAAGTAGACAGGAATTTGGTGATGAAAAATGTTGATTCTTTTATTTTGTTGTTTTTGTGCCTCACACATGCTCTGCCAACTAGCTATACTCCTGGAACTCAATTGTTTGAATTTTTTTTTGTTTTAACTGCTTTGGGGGCGTCACATTTGTTCATGCTTTGGGGTTATTCTTTGCTTGCTATTTAATGTTCATTCCTGGTGGTGTTCAGGGGACCATAATAGTGCCACCCTTTGAACCTAGGTATATAGCATGCAAAGCAGTACTCAGTCCAGTGTTGAACCATCTCTCTTGCCCTGGTCTATGATTTTTATTTTGTTTTGTCTTACTTTGCTTTTGAGCTATCTATATCCAGTGGTGCTCAGGGCTCTCCTGGCTCTGTCCTGGGCTTACTCCTGCTCTATGCTTGGTTCATGCCTGGAGGTTCTCAGGGAACCATATGTGATACTGAGAATTGAACTGGCAGTCAGCTTCATGCAAGGCAAACATTTTTTTTCCCTTCCCCTTTGGGTCACCCACTCAGTGCTTCTCAGGAGTTACTTCTAGTTCCACTCTCAGGAATCATCTTGGCAGTGCTTAGGGGACCATATGGGATGCTGGCGATCAAATGCAGGTCATCTGTGTGCAAGGCAAGTGCCCTACTCACTGTACTATCACTTTGTTCCCAAGACAAGCATTTTAACCTCTGTATATCTTTCTGGTTCTCCAGTTACTTTTTTTTTTGGGGGGGGGGGTGATGCCTGACATTCTCCGGGCTCAGTCCTGGCTCTGCCCTCAGGTACCACTTCTGGTGGGCTCAAGGGACTTTATGGGTGCTGGGGATTGTAACTATGTTGGCCATGTGGACAGCAAGCGCTCCACCGCTATATTTTAAATATTGTGAGGGGATTGTTTTGGCCACACCCATCAGTGCTCAAGGCTATTCCTGACTGCTCAGGAATGAAATCAGCAGGATGCTAGGCAAGCACTTAAACCTTTCTCTCTGGCTTTTAGTTATTTGGGGAGGGGGCAGTAGATTGTTGTAGGGGAGTATTTCCCAAATACTGATTAGTATGCCTAGAGCATACTAATATCAGAAATAAGTCATATCAGGCAGAATTCTGGGTCTTTTAGGGTTGCACCTGGCAATCCCTGGAGAATCGTGGTGCCAGATATGCAAAGCATGCACCTTAGTCCCTGCACTATTTCTTCAGTCCCTTAAATTTTTAGCCCCTTGCTTTTTTTCTGTTTGCTTATTTTGTTTTTTTGGCAAACCTGGTAGTGCTCAGTGCTGTTACTGACTCTGTGATCACAGGTCATTTTCTGGCAGTGCTGGAAGAACATGTAATATGCTGGATTGAATCAAACAAGACAAGCACCTTAACCTCATATTATCTCTCCAAAGCCCTTCAAATTATTATTATTATTATTATTATTATTATTACTATTATTATTTATTTTGGGGCTACACCCAGCTGTGTTCAGAGCTTACTCCTTGCTCTGCTTAGAGATTTTTCATGCCTGGCAGTGCTCAGTGGAGCATAATGCAGTGCTAGGGATCAGATTAGTGTTGACCTTGCATAAGGCTAATGATATTTCTCTGCTCCTCATTCAGTTCCCCCCTCCTCCTTTTTTGGGTCACACCGGCGATGCTCAGGGGTTACTCCTGGCTCTGCCCTCAGGAATTGCTCCTGAAAGTGCTTGGGGGACCATATGGGATGCCAGGGATCAAACCCAGGTGGGCAATATGCTAGGCAAACACCCTATCCACTCTACTGTCACTTTGTCCCCCACCCCCCACCATCTGCTTTCAATTTGTTTTATTTGGGGGCCACACCTGGCAGTGCTTTAGGGCTTACTCCTGGTTCTCTACCCAGTGATCACTCCTGGTGGTGCTCAGGGATCATACAGGATGCCAGGGATCAAACCAAGTCAACCACTTGCAAGGCAAGCACTCAGAGTACTACCATTGCATTCCTCCCACTTCAATTTTTTATTTTGTTTTTTGTTTTGGGGCCACACCCAGAGATGCTCATCGGTTACTCCTGGCTCTATGCTCAGGAATTACTCCTGAAGGTGGTCAGGGGACACTATTGAATGCCAGGGTAAGCTGCATGCAAGGCAAATGCTCTACCCACTATACTATTGCTCTGGTGTCCCCCCCCTCTTTTTTTTTTTTGCCACATCTAGCGATGCTCAGTGGTTACTCCTAGTTCTGAGGAATTACTTGAAATTGGAGTATTTGGGAAGATACAGTCTTTTGGGGGGGGAGGGATGTTCGGGGGGGCATTTTTGGAATCATTCCTGGTGGGCTCAGAGGACCATATGGGATGCCAGACATCAAGCATGTCAGCTGCATGAAAGGCAGATGCCCTACCTGCTGTATTGCCACTTCAACCGGGAAGCTATAGTTTTGAGGAATGAAAGTAAATTCATCAGAAAAAATGATAATGGGTTACATTTTTAGGCCAAAGAAATTCCATGCACAAAGTCCTGGAAAATTGGAGCTTGTGCTTTATATGTGGGAACTCAGTTTTCGAAAAGATTTGATCCCTAGTACTGATTCCCTGAGCACAATGTGATCCCACAAAAGAAAGTTCTATGGTAATCACTATAGTGAATTGCACCAAGTATAATTAATACCAGAAAAGAAGCACATTTAGTTATATATTAGGAAGGTTACTAAAGGTATCTAAATGGTATCCATATAGGGTATAGATGTATAGGTCAGAGGTAGAGAAACCTGTACAGAACAATTACATACAGAGAATTCCATAAATGTGAAAATAACATTCCTGGAAAATTGTTAACAGGTCAGTATCCATGAAGACAAGAAAGTATAGCACTTAATGGTAAGAGATTAAACCAACTAATTTAAGGATTTTATTTCTTTTGCTTTAAGATCACCATTTCTCTTACAAGTGATCACCATAATTTTTGTCTTTTTTGTTTTGTTTTTGTGCCACACCCGGTAGCACACCACTTTAAGGATTTTCTTTTACTGTGAGAAAGATCACCATTTCTCCTACTATGACCACCATAATTTTTGTCTTTTTGTTTTGTGCCACACCTGCATGCCTCTGGTGCTCAGGGGTCACTCCTAATGGTGCTCTGGAGATCAAACCAGAGTTGGCTCACACATGGGAAGTACCTTAATCCTTATATTTTCTCTTCCACCCTTGTTGGTAAGAACTAGTAAAAGGTACTGCTACTGGTTTTATGTGTATGCGCGTTTTCTCCCCACTTTATTTTTTGGGGGCCACATTTGATGATATTTGGGGGCTACTGTAAGCTTAGTGCTCAGAGGTTGCTCCTCGTGGTTATGTAGTGCAAAGGATCAAATTTGGAACTCTAGCACAGCACTCAGCTGATTGAGCTTTCTTTCTGCTTCTAAGTTTATTTATTCTTTAGGGTTTTATTTGGTTAGAGGGTGGTAAGGGCAGAGGGCTAAGCCCAGTTGTGCTCAGGGCATACTTCTGACTTTGCACTGACTTTGCAGTGATCACTCCTGGCAGGGCTTAGGGAACCGTAAATGGTGCTGGGGATCAAACTCAGGTTGTCTGCATGTTAAGCAAGTACCTTACCCACTCAGCTCTCTCTCTGGTCCTTTGCTTGTTTTTATATTTGTACTTGACTACTTTAGGCAATACTTCATAATGTTAAAATCTTATTTCCTTCTATTGCTACCTCTCACCCACAATTCCCATTAATCCTTGGCTTGATGAATCTACATTAGTAGTGATAGTGCTTCAAGAATGTAATGATGATGGGGGCCAGAGCAATAGTCAGTGGACAGGGCGTTTGCCTTGCATATAACTGACCCAAGTTCTATACCTCGCATCCTATATAGTCTCCTGAGTACTGCCAGGAATAAGCCCTGAACTTAGAACCAGGAGTAACATCTTGAGCATTGCCTGGTGTGGCCCCAAAACAAAAAATAAACTTAATAATGATGTCTGTCAGCATCAACCATTATGGACTTTGGGTGAGGGGCCTCCTAAACAGTGCTCAGTGGCCTGGGTGATACTTCCAGCACATGGGTGGGTCCTGAGGTTGTGTTGGTACTTGTCCTGTGGTGCTAGGTACCACTGTGCCCATCAACTGAAAGTGCTCCAGGATCACCAGCTCTATATCCAGTGGTATTTAAAGGGCCATTTGCAGGGGATCAACCCCTGTGTAATTTCTCTAGCCCTTTAACTTTATTTTTAAGGTCAAAGAATGTTTCTTGCGGTAGAGTCCATGTCTCATATTCAGGGTTTTTATTTTTATAAATATATATAAAAGTATTTTATATTTTATATGGATAAGAATTGCGTGTGTGTGCGCGCGCACACTTGCGCACATATAAACACTATTCCTTTTTATTCTTCCATAAGGAATCAGGTCAGGGAATAATTTCAGTCCTGTTTGATATGGCCTCAGGTCCCCTCCCTGTCCATGATTTTCCTTTTTTGTGTGTCTATGTTGGGGGCTCACATCTGGTGGTGCTTGAGGCCTACTCCCTGGCTCTGCAACTCACAGATCACTCCTGGTGAGGCATGGGAAACTATATGCAATGCTAGGCATTGAATCTGGATTGGCTGCATGCAAGGCAAATGCCTACCTGCTGTACTACTCTGGCCCCTTGATTTTCCATGTTTAATAAGCTTGATACAGCTCTGGTCTAAGCTTTAGCAGGATTCAGGGGTCTCATGGTCTAGTCTGATACATCTATTCCTGCCCATTTAACTCTGTCTACTCAGAGAACTTTAGTGAGAAGGCCTGGTGAAGAATCCTCAGGTTGAAAACAAAACTTCCCATCAAGAATGGTGGGAAGTGATGGGCTCAGAGCCAGGAGTAAACCCTCAGAAGTGCCAAAACAATACATACATAAAAGGAATACAGAAGGAACTACAGGTTAGGTCAGATGGAGACTAAAATACCTTTGGGATACGTCAGATATCCAATGTAATGATTGGTATCTGTATATTTTGGGGGAATTTTGGGCCATACCCAGTAGTACTTAGGACCAGATACAGTGTCTTTTAATCAAAGGTACTATCTCCTCAGGCCCATGTTATCTATCTATATTTTTTCTTTTTAAAGATTTTTTACTGGGCTTTGGCTGGAGTGATAGCACAGCGGGTAGGGCATTTACCTTGCACGCGTCTGACCCGGGTTTGATTCCCATCATCCCATATGGTCCACTGAACACCACCAGGACTAATTCCTGAGCATAAAGCCAGGTGTAACCCCTGTGCATCACCGGTTGTAACCCAAAAAGCAAAAACAAAAAACAAAAATTTTTTTTGAAGATTCTTTTTACGGGACTGAAGCAATAGCACTGCGGGTAGGGCATTTGCCTTGCATGCGGCCAACCCACGTTCAATTCCTAGCATCCTACATGGTCCCCTGAGCACCGCCAGGGGTAATTCCAGAGTGCAGAGCCAGGAGTAACCCCTGTGCATTGCCCGGTGTGACTCAAAAAAGCATAGTTTATGTAGTGTCGGAAATTGAACCCAGAGTTTTACCCATTCATGGCAGGCACTCTACTTCTGAGCCACATCTCAAGCCATACTTTTATTTTTTGGCAGTGCTGATAATTGAATACAGGCCTTTCACGTGTAAAGGCGAATGTGACCCCCATTAAACATGCTTCATTTGGGGGAATCGAGTGGTGTTGGATCTCCCACCAATCTTTTGGTGGGCCATGCAGTACTAAGCATTGAGCTCAGATTCTCCATATGCAAGTTATATGTTACAGTCCTTTGAGTTATCTCCTTTGATCCTGTTATGATATCTAATAAGTACAGGAAACAATTTAAAGGACCCAAATTCTAGAAGTGAGATCAAAGCTCTAGGTAATATTGGCCATAATTATAGGTATTTATTCTCTTTGAACAAGAGGGAAACAGGAACGGTTATATATGCTAGAAAGTTTATAGGGAAAAGGATGTTAAGGAGCTACCATCTGATGGTTTCTCTCTTCAGTGAAAAAAGATCAAGGTCATAAATTGAGAGTTGTAGTAGATAAACTAAGAAATATGCTAGGAGTAATTCCTGAGTGCAGAGCCAGGAGTAACCCCTGAGCATGACCCAGAAAGCAAAAAAAGAAAAAAGAAATATGCTAGGTGCTGGTGTTTTTAAGTCTAGCCTAATTTTCCATAACTATATATACGTAGTTGTTTTGGGTCCTTCTCCTGTGATTCTTGGAGAATCTCAGGCTGCTCCACAGACTAATCACAGCAGTACTCAAACAAAGAAAGCCTGAAGATTTGGTGCTTAAGCCTAAAACTGTGCTGAGTTATGTCGCTTTAACCCAGAATGTTGGAAGTCACCAGGTCTACACCCAGCAATTCCCCATGGGGCCATGTGGTGTCAGGAATCCAGTTCAGGCCTAGTTTTGTATATTGCCCTTTGGGCCATCTCAGTTTTCTATTACCATTTTTAGTTTTGATCTTTTGTGTACCCTGAGTCATGGATCACCTCAGATTTCTCTAGTAAAGATAGAAAGAAATTTGAGAAGCACCCCCCCTTTTTTTTTAATCCCACTAGGAATCAAGTCAGCTATTCCTTTTCTTTTTGACTTTTCTCTGCATTTGTTCACTGACTGAACTTTATAATGATGTTTGGTGCAAGAGGACAATGTGTCCAAAGTCTTTAGGCATAATAAGAATTGGTATAAAATCTAAAACAGTAGCCTTGTTTTGATACTCTGTCAAATTCCTCATACATTTGACGATCACTCCTCGTAGGATTGCCTCTCTTTTCCTTCTGTCACTGTACTGCCTTGCTTGTGATACCTAAAGTTCCTTAAAAAAAAATTACCTGATTTTTCATTCCCTAAGAGTAACAAACTAAAAATGAGCAAGTGACCCATTTCTTTCTTTCCTCAGTAAATACTTAATCCAGAAGATTCTAGCTGAAGTTGTTTACCAAGAAATAAAAGAAGTATTAGTAGATGGCAAATCCAGGGGCGACCCTTGTTTGATCCCCATCACCCCGTATGGTATCCTGAACCCTACCAGGAGTGATAGCTGAGTGCAGAGCCAGGAGTAAACCCTAAACATTGCTGGGCATGGTCCAAAAAGCCAAAACAAAGCAATCTCCAAGCTCTCCAATATATCAAATCTAAAAGCACAGCTGTCATGCAGGAAAACCAACCCCTTAAGACTTTATAAACTGAAATACTCTGAGAAAGTGACCATTAAAAGTTGAAGTGAGAAAGCAGTTTTTAAAATTGATTTTTATAATTATTTTTACTCATAAATTAGCACTTTCTAGGTTTTATTTGGAGGTTGTTGCTGTTACTTAAGAAAATAACTTTTTGTTTTACAGTGGTCAGATCAAGCTAGCAGATTTTGGACTTGCTCGACTCTATAATTCTGAAGAGAGGTGAGGTATTCAAAAAATTATTTCTATTCTTGAATATCTTTATATTCTGCAAGTTATAGTAGTTATCAGTTCCCTAATTTTCTGAATCTCTATCTAGATTTTAGATAGTAAATTCTGTTTCCTTTTGGTTTTGTTTTTGGGCCACACCCAGCGGGCTCAAAGCTTGCTTCTGGCACACCCATGGATCGCTTCTGGTGGGTCTTGGGACCATATAGGATGCTGGGGAAGATCCCAAGTGGGTGGCGTGCAAGGCTTGAACCCTTGCCACTGTAATAATTCTTCAGCTCTCTCTTTAAATTTTCAAAATAACTAAAAAATTTGGGGGCCATACCTGACTCTGCTTGGGGACTACTCTTGCCACATGCATTCAATCATGGTGATTGGATGCATGTGGTGCCAGGGTTTGAACCCAGGGGTCTGGCATGCAAAGCATATGCTCCAGCCCTATGAACTCTCTAGTCACTCTGCAGCCAGTTTACTTTTTTTTTTCCCCCCAAAATCTCCTCTCTCACTAACTCCTTCCCCCAACTTTTCTTTGTTTTGTGATGAAGGGTTTGCATACACTTATGACTATAATGCTTGCACATTTTCAGCTGTGATGCTTTCCAGGAGTTGCACATCAGGTTGGGGTGTTCATTGAGATTAGCACTTCTTTTGTTGCACTACTATAGTTACACATGAACTCTCAGTGAGGCACAAGGCATGCAAGGTATGGATATAATGTCTGCAGTGGCTTACAGTGATGCTCATACACACAGTTACCAGGAGTTGAACTTCTTGGCCATGATATTTGCACATATTTCTTTTCCTTTTTCAAGCTGCAGTGCTCACTAGAAGTTGTGCCTCCCCACCTCTTTTCTTTTTGTTTGGTTTTTAGTTTTGGTTTTTGGGCCACACCTGGCAGTGCTCAGGGCTTACTCCTGACTGTGCTTAGTGATTACTCCTGATGGTGTCTGGGGGCCAAGGATTGAACCTGGGTTAATTGCAAGCAAGGCAAGGACCCTACCCATTGTACTAATTCTTCTGTTCCTTGTGCCTTTTTTTTTTAATTATTTTTGTTTTGGGGCCACCATCCAGCAGTGCTCAAGGGTTCACTCCTCACTCTGCACTCAGGGATCATTCCTGGTGGCCACGGAGACCATATGGGATGCTGAGGATTGAACCCTGGTTGGCCACACGCAAGACCAGAGCCCGCTGGACTATTGCTCCAGCCTATCCCTGTACCTTTCTTTGTGGTGCTTATAGACACCAGATTGCAGGGCAGCCAAAAATCATTCTCAGCAACAGAGATCACAGTCAGAAAACTTCCTGAATTGTGGGTTACCACGCTTGATATATTTGGGACACCAGGGGTTTTTCCTGTCTAAGATACCAGTGATCGAACCAAGGACATTATATTTGCAAGGGAAGCACTTTACTACTGAGATTGATCCCCGATCCCACTGTTTCTGTAAAGCTGTTTTGATAGTCTTCTTCAGTTAGCCACTCTTACCACTTGGATTTAATTCTGTAATTATCTTTCAGCAGAAATCATTACAAAAATTTTTTTCTTTGCATTTTAGCCGTCCATATACAAACAAAGTTATTACTCTGTGGTACCGACCACCAGAACTTCTACTTGGAGAGGAGCGTTATACACCTGCCATTGATGTTTGGAGCTGTGGGTAAGACTCTTTAGTCTTTCCTTTCTTTGTAAGTCACTGTTGTTGAACTTAAACCATGTTTTCCTCCCTCCATAAACTTTTTTTGCACCTCTTAAGTTTGAAGGAATGGAGATAAACTTAGCTACATTTTAGCAAAATCTGATGAATATTTCTTAAGTTGGGGGTGAGGGGGGAGGAAGTGTTTGAATTTGGGGATCATACATGGCAGTATTCAGGGAACAATGAGGGGCCAAGGTTAAACCTGGGCCACCAGGGTGCAACTAAGCACTACTGGGTATGTCCTCAAACAAAAACCAGTAAAATTTATCAGCTCTGAGTGATCCATGTTCATAAGTTAATTGGTGGACCCGAGTTCAATTCCTCCGCCCCTCTCGGAGAGCCCGGCAAGCTACCGAGAGTATTCGATATGCCAGACACAGTAACAACAAAGTCTCCAATGGAGACGTTACTGGGCCGCTAGAGCAAATCGACGATCAACGGGAGGGCCTTTGTGATGGTTACAATATAGCATTCCTCTTTGGAATAAAAGTAACATTTGTTTGATCAAACCTGGCCCAAATGACAGAGAGGGACAGAGAGACAGTACAGTATGGCTGACCCACATTTGATCCCTGGCATCCTATATGGTCTTCACTGGGAATAATTTCCTGAGTGTAGAACCAGGAGTTACCCCTGACTCTTTCTGGGTGTGGTCCCTCCCCCCCCAAAAAAAACAAAACAAAATAAAAATAAAAGATAGGAACAGAAGTTTTGTTTTATTTTTCTTTCTAGGTATCCCAAATGGTGCTCAGGGTTTTGTAGGGAACTTCCCAATTAGTTCCCAGTGATTTCCCAGTGGGCCATAGCATTTCAATATCAATACCCAAGGGCGTGGTGCTGCTTTTTCAGCGCTGCTCAGTCCATGCAGTACCCAGCAGCGTTCATACTCAACCTTGAAGTCTTCTGCATTTAAGGCACATGTTTTATTTTATTTTATTTTATTTTATTTATTTATTTTTTTTTGCTTTTTGGGTCACACCTAGCGATGCACAGGGTTACTCCTGGCTCTGCACTCAGGAATTACTCCTGGAGGTGCTCAGGGGACCATATGGGATGCTGGGAATTGAACCTGGGTTGGCTGTGTTACAAGGCAAACGCCCTATCTGCTGTGCTATTGCTCTAACCCCAAGGCACATGTTTTAATCCCTATACAATCTCTCTGGCCCCTGGTTTGATTGATTTGTTTTGTGAAAGGCAAATGATCTTTCCCTGATCTATACTACCCTAGTCTCAGGGATAGAGATTTAATTCTTTCATTTTAATAACCAGATTCAAGATGATGAGTTTTTTTGTTATTGCTGCTTTTTGGATCACAACTGGCAATGTTTGGGGGTTACTCTTGGCTTTGCACTCAGGAATTACTCCTGGTGGTGCTCAGGGGACCGTATAGGATGCTGGGAATCGAACCCAAGTTGGGTGTGTACAAAGCAAACACCCTCCCCACTGGACTATCACTCTGGCCTTCAAGATAATTTACTTTTGCATTATTTTCCACTGATAACCAAAACCAGGGTTTTTGTGGTTTGCCTGTTCTTTTCTTCCTTTTTCTTTTTTCCTTTTGTTTTTGGGCCACACCCAGCCATGCTCAGGGTTTACTCCAGAGTGTACTCAGGAATCACTCCTGGCAAGTCTCAGAGGACCATATGCAGTTCCATGGATCAAGTCCATGACGGCGGTGTAGAAGGCAGGCAACTTAACCCCTGTACAATTATTCCAGCCCCTTCCTTTTATTGTCATCATGAACTCAAGGATTTAAACGTTTTTGATTTGTAATTTATATGGTTATTCTGATTCTTGTTTGAAGTTGCAGTGGGTGTTCGGGTTAAATATTGCATTCTTTTGACAAAATCATAGTTGTTTTTGATAGTCTTCCTTGTTTTCTAGTTCCAGGTGCATTATGTGTATTTCTCACCCTTGACACAGAATCAGACATGTCTCTAAGGGGACTTTCCTTTTGCTGGAAATTAATAGCAATCATAATTTTTTTTCTCAGCTGCATTGACCTCCATATTGTATGATTCCTAGAAAAACTTTCTGTATTTCACTAAATCATTATCACAGATTTTGTGCTAATTTTTTAAATGGGACTGTGACCATTATGTGAAGTTTGTGTTTTGTTTTTGTGCTGGTATTATTTAAATACAGGGTGTGATGATTATATGGTCACAACAATTGGGCAGTGAAATTTTGTCTTTCTTTTCCTCCTTCCTCCCTCCCTTCCCTTCCATTCCCTTCTTTTCCCTTCCTCCCCTCCCCCATCCCTCCTTCTATATGTGGCAGTGCTTAGCGCTTACTCCTGACTTAACACTCAGGGATCACTACTACTGGCAGGGCTCAGGGGACCATCTGGAGTATTGGGGATTGAATCCTGGTCGGCCACCTGCAAGCAGATGCCCTACCCTCTGTGCTAATTCTCTGCCCCATGCAGAGAAATTGATAATACTTTTTCCTTCATTCCATCCCATCATTAGTTTTTTGTGTTTGTGTATGGTGCCAACTCTGTAACCTAGAGCCTCATACATGCAAGTCAGGTGCTCAACCACAGACCGTATCTCCAGTCTCTAATAACTCATCTTTTTTTGGGGGGAGGGGAACCTTGAACCACATCCAGTGATGCCCAGGGCTTATTCCTGGCTTTGCACTCAGGGATCAACATGGCAAGGCTCCAAGGAACAATATAGAGTGCCAGGGATTAAACCTGGGTCAGCCATCTGTAAGACAAGCATCCTACCTGTTGTACTATCTCTTCTATCATCCAAATTTTACTTTTTAGTGAAATTCAGTAGTGCTCAGTGGCTACTCCCTACTCAGGGTCACTCATTCTTTGCAGTCCTTGAGGAACCATGTGATGATGTTGGAGATCATAACTGGGCCAGAAGTTACAGAGGATATATCCTTTATCCAGATTCATTAAATTTGTTGATCTTTTTATTTAAGGTATTCAATAAATCGTATAGGTTTAAAGTATGTAGTTAAGTTTTGACATGTAGAATACAGTAGTGAAACTCATCACAACCAAAATAATGATCACTTCCACAAGTTTCTATGTGCACTTTTGTCACAAGTCTTTTCTGAGGTGACAAAAATAAAAAAACAGTTGTTGCAGTGGCCTTGGCACTTTTGTGGTGGGGCGCAGTAACTTTGTACGTCAGTACTATAAACTTGAATCAGTACTACAAACTATCATAACCAAGTTACCAAAACCGTAATTAAAAAATTCATTAGGACCCAAGAAATAGTACAAGGTTCAGGGTGCTTGCCTTATATGTGACTGCTCCCAGTTCAATTCCCAGCACTGCATGGTCCTCCAAATACCACCAGAGAACAGTTCAGGTTTTAGGACTGTTGGGTTTTTCTCACGGTCACGGTCCTCCCGTTGTTCATCAATTTGCTCGAGCGGGCCCAGTAACATCTCCATCATGAGACTTGTTGTTACTGTGTTTGGCATATCGAATAAGTCACAGGTCGCTTGCCAGGCTCTGCCGTGCGGGCGAGATACTCTCGGTAGCTTGCCGGGCTCTCCGAGAGGGGGCGAGTTAATCGAACTCGGGTCGGCCATGATGGCTGCTTGTAAGGCAAACGCCCTACCGCTGTGCTGTCACTCCAGCCCGGGTTTTTCTTAAAAGGTAAAATACTTTACAAATACTTCTCTTCTTGGGTCGGAGAAATAGTACAGTGAAAGAAGGTGCTAGCTTTGCGTGTTGCTGACCTGGGTACAGCCCCCTCACTACATATAGCTTCCTGAGCCCTGCCCAGGAATAATCATTGAGCAGTCAGCTATTGTCCTACCCGCCCCAACCCAAGTTTAAAAAAAAGTTTCTTCTTTCCACATTGCCTTCTCAGGCAACCAGTGCTCTGATTTCTATCACTTAAGTTTTTATTTTTTGGAATTTTATGTGAGAAATTATTAAAGCATTTGTTAATTTAAAAAGATTTTGACATCTTTTATTTAAAAATAATTATAAGTTAAATTTATTCATGTGGGTTTTTTGGGGGGGATCATACTTGGCAGTGTTTTCCTGCAGTACTCAGGTGACCATGCAGTGTTGGGGAACAGAATTCTGGTCTCCCCATATGCAATGCATGCACACTTGCTCTTTTTTTCTTTTGAACTATCTTTCTGTCCTTTCACTGATTTGCTTTTGGTTTTGTTTTTTTGGGCCTAACCTGGCAGTGCTCAAGGGGTACTGCTCTGCACTCTGGAATCACTCCTTGCAGTTACTCGCGAGACCCTATGAAATGCTGGGGATTGAACCCGGGTTGGCCATGTCCAAGGAAAACGCCCTTCCACTGTACTGTCATTCTTGCCTAGCTTTTTCTAATTTTTAACACCTTGCCAAATTTTCTTTTACAAAAGGTATTAAGGGATTTCAGTAAAGCAAATTGTAACACAATTTTAAAAGACTTTTTTATTACTACTACATATAAGTTTTATTTACAGTATACTGTAGTCTGTAAGAGCAACATTTGTACCTACATTTTTTTAAAAAAATTTCTTTTGGGGGGCTGGAGAGATAGCACAGAGGGTAGGGCGTTTGTCTTGCACGTGGCCGACCTGGGTTCGATTCCCAGCATCCCATATGGTCCCCTGAGCACCGCCAGGAATAACTCCTGAGTGCAGAGCCAGGAGTAACCCCTATGCAGAGCCAGGTGTGACCCAAAAAGCAGAAAAAAAAAATTTCTTTTGGGGGCTGGAGCCATAGAACAGTGGGTAGGGCGTTTGCCTTGCACGCAGCCAACATGGCCGACACAGGTTCGATTCCCAGCATCCCATATGGTTCCCCGAGCACCGCCAGGAGCAGTTCCTGAGTGCATGAGCCAGGAGTAACTCCTGAGCATCGCCGGGTGTGACCCAAAAAGCAAAAAAAAAAAATTTTCTTTTGGGGCCACACCTGGCAGTATTAATGCACCATTTCCAGCAGGGCTAGGCCGCCTGAATGCAAGCATGTATTCAAACCCTTTTAGCTCATTCCCTGATCATACTTAATTGTGACACAGACACACAAAGTTATCATATGCTAATGCTGGTGTGGGTTGTCAGAAACCTTCTATTTGAAAAAATATGTATGTTTCATGTAATATGTACTACACATTGCATAAAATGTACTTCTGTATATACCCTACTTTTTTTTTTCCTCCAGAACATTCTTTTTTGTTTGGGTTGGTGGCGTGGAGTGATGGTAGGGCCACACTTGGAGGTGCTCAGGGCTTTCTACTTGATGGAACAGTACTCTGTTCTTGGGGGCTGCTTTTGACAGTACTTTGGGTGTTGGCATGGAGCAAGCAAAGCTCTTTGAGCTGTCTCCCTAGCCAATGTTATGTGTTTTTGTCTGGAGTTCTCAAATGTTCTTTACAAGTCATCAGATTTGTGGGTTTGGGGAATGGGTCACATCACCTGTACTCAGAGTATACTCCTGGTTCTGGACTCAGGGAGCTCCTGGTGGGGCTCCAGAATGGTACCAGAAATTGAACCCTAGTCAGCTACTATACTGTATCTCTGGTCCTAGGTCATCATATTTTTACTTGAGCATACAACTTTTCTCTTTACTGATACCTTACTTTTCGTATTGTCTTTTTTGCCCACTAGTTTTCATGTGGCTGTAATTTATGGAGAGCTAAGTGGAAACTATGTAAATATGTCAACATAAACTTGAGAGATCATTTCAGAATTTTAGATCTAGTCTGTTCACACACTTTACAAAATATAAGTGCCAGGAGAACTATAATACAGTGCACCTTCTCTGAACCCAATAAATGAAAAACTTTAATATTTTATTGTTCAAAATTGCTGAATAGTCTTCCAAAATTAAAGTGTGGCCTTTTTTTCCTAAGTAATTTGCAAGTGGAATTGCTCAGAAAGGATGCTTAATACCCTTTTGTATACTGTCCTTTATAAGCAACAAAAATATTATCTAGTGGCAAATTTAACTTTATTCAAGAAAGGGGGAAAAAATTCGTGTGTGTGTTGGTCACACTTAGAGGGGGTGGGGGTGGGGGGGTTAGACCTGGGCCTCTTATATGCAAAAAAGTGCTCCAAGACCAGGGCATAGTACAGCAGTTAAGGCTCATGTCTGGATTCAAGTCTTAAAAAGCACCTGCTCCCCAAGCACTGCCAGGGTGGCCCAAGTATGCCTAGCACCGCAGGGCCTCAGCAGCATTGCATCCTCAGGCTCTTGCAGTAAACCACTGGCCTGGTTGGCAAGAATTGCTGGTGGCAGGCTCGAGAGATGTACAGAGTATAGCCGAAACTGGTATGATTTGCAGCACCCACTTCTCAAGCACCATCAGGAGTGATCCCTGAGGACAGGGCCAGGAAAACCCTGAGTACCACGGGTTGTGGCCCAGAAACAAGAATCCTAGTAAAATGGGCCAGGAGAGATAATACAGCACCCTGGGTGCTTGCCTTACACATGGCTGACCTGGGTTTGATCCCAGGGACCCCATATGATTGCTCGAGCACCACAAAGAGTGATTCCTGAATGCAGTTTACTCCTGAATGGAGTAAACGTGGAGCACAGCTGGGTGTGGCCCCAAAACAAAGAATTGCTGAAAAGTCCCATAAGTCTCCTGAGGACCACTTTGGGAAATCCCCTACCACTACCATCAAAGAAGCATGTTCCCCAGTCTCTTCAGTTATCTCTCTAACCTGTGAAATAAATAATTTTCTGAAACTTAGACACAGTTTTGAGCTAATTTACAAATGGTGACTATGTCCGGAAACAATAAAAATAATTAATTTATTGAGGCATATTTGTAAATGACTTCAGAACTTTTTCTCCTCACCTTTTTGTTTTTACTCTTTCTAGATGTATCCTTGGGGAACTCTTCACAAAGAAGCCTATCTTTCAAGCCAATCTGGAACTGGCTCAGCTAGAACTGATCAGGTACACCTGTGCATGTGCTCTGAGTTTCCAGGTGTGATAGGTAATATCATCTACTTTCTAACAGTTTTTCGTCATTTCACTTACATGATTTTATGCTTCTTGTGTCCAAGTAAGTTTGTTTCAGTTTTTGTTTTTGTTTTTGTTGTTGTTGTTGTCTTGTTTTTTGGCCATACCTGGCAATGCTCAGTGGTTACCACCAGTTCTGTGCTCAGGAGTTACTACTAGCAGTACTCTGGGAACCAGAAAATACCATGAATCAAACTGAAGTGCTCTACTTGCAGGGCATGCGCCTTAATCCCTACACTATATCTGTAGCCCCAAGATCAAATTTATTCAAACATTTACTGAACCTCTGTTGTAATAGATTTCTTTCTGTTATGCTTTAGGATTCTGAGGTAAATAAGATAGCTACACATCTACCTTTAGAATATAGCATATAAATAAATAGGTAATCTGTGATATTATAGAATCTATGAAATCTAGTATTTGGTGTGAGAGCCTGAGATTGGGGTGGAATGTTTTTGTTTATTTGTTTTTTCAATACTCAGGGGTCACTCCTGCCTGTATACTTAGGATTCACTCCTGGCAGGACTCAGGGGAGCATATGGGATGTCAGGGATCGAACCTGGGTCTGGTACTATCTCTCTGACCTTGGGATGGAATTTTTTAATCAGGATGTAACACACCCTGCTTAGTGCTCAGGGAACCAGTCATATAGTGTTGGTGATTAAACCTTGGCCTCCGGCATGGGAAACATGTCCTCTACCTTTATGAGCTATTTCTCTGGCCCCTGTTTGGTGCTATTGGTGGTTTGTTGTTGTTACTGTTTTTTGGGGGGTTGTTTTGGTTTATTTTTTGCTTTGGGGCCTTGCCGGGTGGTGCTCAGGACTTAATCCTGGCTCTGTGCTCAAGGATCACTGCTGGGTGGGCTTGGGGGGACCATTTGGGGTTCTGGGGATCAAACTCAGGTTGGCCACATGCAAGGCAAGTTCTATCATTCCAACCACTTTTTTGGGGAAATTTGAGGGGGCCTTTCTTGTTGGTGCTCAGGGCCACTCCTGCCTCAGTGGTTGCTCCCAGTGTGCTCATGGGACTATGTGATACTGGAGATCAATGTTGGCCACCTCCGTGCAAATCATGCACTCTAACTGTATCTCTGACCCTTTCAAGTACAGTAATAGTAAAGAGTATATAAATGACTAATACAGACTTATTTTGAGAGGGTGCTTCCAGTGTTTAAATGTCCCAGAGACCACTCCCAGCAACCACTCACAGCGATACTAATATAGACTAATAAAGATACTAATACATTATAGTGTTATTCTATAGTAATACTAATCTGGATACTAATAAAGATGTTAAATATAGACTTATTTTGAGGGCGTTCCCAATGGTTAGATGTCCCAGAGACCACTCCCAGCTGTACTCAGCTAACCAGATTGGTTTAGTGCTCGGAATACCATGACCAGGGGTATAACCAGCAGTACTGAGGTGTCATCCTGATGTAAAGGATTGAACTCAGTCTCACACATGAAAATCCTGCACTCCGGGCCTTTGAGCTATTTCTAACCCTGGTGGAGATTTGTTTGCAGGGGTTGGCAGGTTTGTGGCCACACTGAGTATTTGATTAGGACTTACTCCTTGATCTAAGTTCAGGGATCATTCCTGGCAGTGCCCAGGAGATCATATGCAGTGATAGGCACTGGATTGTGTGCAATGCAAGCACCTTAACTATGCTTTGTACTTTCTTTGGCCTCAAGTAAACAGTTTTTAAAAGTTTTGGGTTTGGTTTTTAACCCACACCATCTGTGGTCAGCAATTATTCCTGGCTCTGTGCTCCTGGGACCCTATGTGGTGCCAGAGATTGAACCCAGGTTTTTGTGTGTAAGGCAAAGCAAAGCACCTTACCTGCTGTACTTACCTGCTTTATCTTGCCCACAACTAAATACTTATAGTGGGGAGATTATAACTCATTATTTGTAGTGCAATAAGTTTGATTGCCTGTTAAAATTTCTAGTCTTGGATCTGGAATCATAATATATCGTATTGCACACAGTTGACCCGGGTATAATCCTCAGAACCCCAAATAGTTCCCTGTACCCATCAGAAGTATGCCCTGAACACCTTCAGGTGTAACCCAAGAAACCAGTCCTTTAATATTATTGAATAGAAGAAAATTAGTAAAAACTATGTGGAGGATTAAAAACATTTTACAGAGCAAATCATTTTGGACTATTATGCCAGTATTTTCTCATCACTGGCTTGTAATCAGTTTCTTTCTGTCCTCTTCCATCTATCTGTAAAGGTCATGTTTTATCTTTCTGCATGCCCTCTAAAAAGTCAAGATATCCCAGACCCCAGTAGGTAATAATTTTTTGCTTCTATAAACTCCATAATTCATGATGCTGACTCACTTCCTTGTTCTTGTCTTTTGCTTCATTTTTAGTCGACTCTGTGGTAGCCCTTGTCCAGCTGTGTGGCCTGATGTTATCAAGTTGCCCTATTTCAATACCATGAAACCGAAGAAGCAATATAGACGGCGTCTGAGAGAAGAATTTTCTTTGTGAGTCTTGCAGAAATGAACATTAGTCTCTATGTTTGGTGTCAAGAATTTTTCCTGGCCTCGGAATATTTTCTATATTTTCTAATGTTTTCAAGTTATTAAACATCAACTTTAAAAATTAGTAAACATTAATTTATATATTTTTTCTATTTATTTTGGCTATACACTGTAAGAAAATATTTTATTTTTGTTTAGTTGTTGATTTGGCATAGCTCTCTTTTAATGGTATAAGGGAATTTGTCCCAGGACCTCATACATGTAAGACCCTTATCACTGGGTTGTTTTTTTTTTAAATTTTCCTCTTCTAAAGACTTTAGGAACCTATTTTTAAAATATCCCCCCCCCCGCACCCCCTCCCCCCATTTTTTGAGGAGAGGGTAACACCCAGAGATGATCAGAGATTGTTCCTGGCTCTGTACCAGGAATTACTCCTTGTGGACTTGGAGTGCCATATGGGTTGCTGGGGATCGAACCTGGGTTGGCTACATGCAAGGCAAGCATCCTACCCACTAATACTGTTGCTTCAGCTCCCATGTTTCAGGTTTTGATGTACATACTTTACATACCTCCTGACCACCAAAGTGCCAAGACCCTCCACCAACACCCCTATATCAGTTCTGTTCTCTCTCTCTCTCCCCCTCCCTCTCTCTCTCCCTCCCTACATCTCCCGCTCTGTTTCTCTTCTTCTCTCTCTCCCTCTCCCTCTCCCCCCCTTCTTCCCCTGCCTCCCCCCCCCCCCCCCCCCCCAGCAAAGCAAAGATAGTTTTCATTAAAGCTTACTTGAAAGATGTGAGAGGAGGGGGCTGGAGCAATAGCACAGCGGGTAGGGCATTTGCCTTGCACACGGCCAACCCGGGTTCAATTCCCAGCATCCCATATGGTCCCCTGAGCATTGCCAGGGGTAATTTCTGAGTACAGAGCCAGGAGTAACCCCTGTGCATCGCCAGATGTGACCAAACAAAGGTTGGGGGGGCGGGGGATAAAGATGTGAGAGGAGAGAAAGGAAGAACTATGAGAACACAGGCAGCAAAAAAAAAAAAAAAAAAGTATTTCTACCTGGATTAAAAATTCGCTTGATCGGTTTTGAAAGCAAAGTTGCTTGTTTTTGTTAGCGCACTTCCAGTTGCCTTTTTTACAGCCATAGCACTAGAAATTCAGAGATAACACAAGATTACCACTCTGAACTGTCGCTGTAGCATCAGATGTGAACTTGTTCATTTTCTTCTCTCTGCAGCATTCCTTCGGCAGCACTTGATTTGCTGGACCACATGCTGACACTAGATCCTAGCAAGCGTTGCACAGCTGAACAGACCTTACAGAGTGACTTTCTTAAAGATGTTGAACTCAGTAAAATGGCCCCTCCAGAGTAAGTACTGATAACCATGTAGTGACCCTAAAAACTCCTCTAAGCTTCAGGAGATGAGTAGATAAAAACAGTAGAATTGTTTTAAATGTTTTAAAGTAACTATAAATGATTGAGTCCCAAATGGCGAGGTTTCCTTAAATAATGTGATTCTTTATAGGAGATCTGTTGTCTTTTTTTTTTTTTTCTTATGTATTAGATTAAGATAAGATACTGTTACAATTTGTTTTCTTTTCTGTTTTTTTTTGTTGTTGTTGTTGGAGCCATCTCTGTCTGTGCTCAGGGATCATTCCTGGCAGGGCCTGGAGAAACCATATGTGGTATGGGGGATTGAACCTGAGTGGGCTGTAGGCAGGGCAAGCACCTTTGTGGCTATATGATCTCTCTTGCCCACAATTTTGTCTCTGAATCCAGAGCATATTGCCTTTGAATTTTTTTTCTTTTTTGGGGGGCCACACTCAACAATGCTCAGGGGTTACTACTGTTCTGCACTCAGGAATCACTTGGCGGTGCTTGGGGGACCCTATGGCATGCCGGGGATCGAACCCAGTTTGGCCATGTGCAAAGCAAATGCCCTATTTGCTGTACTATCTCTCTAGCCCTACATAATGCCTTTGAAAGCATTCCTTTTCTCTTGTACTGATAATTATCCTATATGCTTGAATTTCCTATGTGGAGTAACCGTGTATGGCCCAAACTCGAAAGAACAGTCTGGTTTTTGTTTTATTATTAAATTTGGTTTTTGGGTGACACTTGGCCATGCTCGAGATCATTCCTGGTGGTACTCAAGAAACCATATGATCCCAGAGATCTTAATGAATTGAAATGCATTAAATAGCATGTTAGTGCATGAATAGGTAGTTAATCACAAATATGATTATTCCAGAGAAATGTCCAAGTTCATTTACTATGCTACAGTTTTGATATTTTGAATATAACTTAAAATACTTAAGCTTTTCCTTAAATTGGGGGCTTTTAAAAAGATTTTATCTGTGGTATCTATTACAGTAAAATTTGACCTACTTGGACTGCTTGATATGGAAAATCTGAAAATTAATTATATTAAAATATACAGTGCCCAGTGACAGAAAATATACTAATAAATCCCACCAGTGGTAATATCCAGTTGGAAATTTCATGGGCATAAAGACAGTTTTTGGGTCTTCTCAGATAAACTGACACATAAATTGATTTTTTTGGTTTTGTTTTTGGGCCACACCTGGTGGTACTCAGGGCTTACTCCTGCCTCTGCATTTAGAGGTCATTCCTGGATCAAACTTGGGTGTGTCAAGTACAAGGCAAATGTCCTACCTGCTGAACTATCACTCTGGCCCCATGATTTTAAATTGATTTTTTTTTTCATGGTATATCATGTAGTTTCATGACTTAAACCATTAATTTGCCTGGGCATTCTTTCGAAATTAACAGGCCAGGGGACACTTGCTTTACCCTCCCTTATCTGGATTCAATCTCAGGGACCCCATATGGTCCCCTGAGTATCACAGGTGTGGCGCAACCCCTTCACCCACCAAAAAAAAAAAAAAGAAAAAAGTAAGAAATTAACATGTCATATTACTCATTTCTTTAAATTTTTTTTTTAATTTTATTTTTGCATTTGGAGGAGGTCACACCTGGCGATGCTTAGGGATTACTCCTGCATCTGCACTCAGGAATGACTCCTGGTGGTACTTGGGTGACCACATGGGATGCTGGGGATCGAACCCGGGGAAGCTGCATGCAAGGCAAACACTTATTGTACAATCTTATCATATACTACTATCTTAATTCATGTCTAACTGAAACATGACCAGTAAATTTATTTTTTCTTGTAGTAAGCAAGAACTATTATAAAACTTAACTAGTTGAGTTACATTTCAAAATATGGGTGTTTTATTATTAAACAGGCGTGTCTCTGGTATTAGACAATTCTCATTTCTCTTCTTGGAAGTCTTTTTTGTTTTGTTATGGGGCTTTTTTGTTTGTTTGTTTGTTTGTTTATGTGCATACCTGGCTATGCTACATTCAGGAGTTACTCCTGGTGGGGCTTAGGGACCATATGAGATGTTGAGAATTGAACTCCAGTCAGCTGTGTTCAAGGCAAGCCCCCTACCTGCTATACTGTCTCTGTAGCCCCTATTTTAATTTTTGTGCTACACACCTAGCAGTGCTCAGGGCTTACTCTTCCCCCCCCCCCTTTTTGGGTCACACCCAGTGATGCTCAGGGGTTACTCCTGGCTCTGTGCTCAGGAATTACTCCTGGCTGTGCTTGGGGGAATATATGTGATGCCGGGATTGAACTCAAGTCAGCATCGTGCAAAGCAAATGCCCAACCCTCTGTACTATCTCTCCAGCCCCTTAGGGCTTACTCTTTCTTACAAATAGCTTCTTGTGGGCTCAGATTACCATATAAGGTGTTGGGGAGCAAGAAAGCACCTTATCTTCTGTACTATTCCTCCAAATCTTATTATTGAAGCCTTAAGGCTTTGAGACTTCTCGGGTTTTATTTCCTTAGATAACCATATACAATAATTAGCTCTACAGTGTCTATTTACTAACACTTTATTTTTACTGGTCATTTGTTGTTGTTGTTGTTTGTTTACCTCTCTCCCCATTTCCCACTGATCTTTATTCCCAGTTTGATTTGTTGTTCTAACAATGTCTCACTACCACATTCCCATATATGTTTCTATTTTGCTTTGTCTTTTTTCAGCCTCCCCCATTGGCAAGATTGCCATGAATTATGGAGTAAGAAACGACGACGACAGCGACAAAGTGGTGTTGTGGTAGAAGAGCCACCTCCATCCAAAGCCTCTAGAAAAGAAACTACCTCAGGAACAAGTGCTGAGCCTGTGAAGAACAACAGCCCGGCACCACCTCAGCCTGCTCCTGTCAAGGTGGAGCCTGGGGCTGGGGATGCAATAGGTCAGTGCTAGATTGGTTGTCTTTGTTCTTTTATTTAGCAACTACATTTTGGCAGGATTTGAATGTCAGGATCAAAAAGGGTTTGTGTGTGAGTGTTCAGTGAAGCATTAATAAAAAGAACAGTTTTCCTGGTTTCCTAATTATGGGGAAGAAATAAACCAAGTCTTGCACATGTGGTGTAGAAAATCTACAATAGATGTTTCTCCATATAATAAGGAACTCTGTTTTAAACTTGTGTGAATGAAGCCACATTTAAGGTTAGTTAGTTCACCCTTGGCTCTCATACAAACATAAATTGGAGCCCCGTTTATGGTGGATTTGATAATATCCTAGAATCTATACTTCATTAAATCACAATTGCTGGGGCCAGAGCTATATTATAGCAGGTCAGAGCCTTTGCCTTGCATGGGACCAACCCGGGTTTGATTCCCAGCACCCCATATGGTTCCACGAGCACTGCCAGTAATTTCTGAGTGCAGAATCAGGAGTAACCCCTGAGCACCTCTGGCTGCGGGCCAAAAACAAATCACAGTTACCAACTGTAGTTAGTCCCATAAACTATTTTAATATATACAAAATTTGGAGCCAGAGAGATAATATAGAGATTAAGAAGCTTGCCTTGTACACAGCTAACCTCATTTCAATCCCCAGCACCAAATAAGCCCTGAATACTACCAGATGTGTGTCCCCCCTCCTCTCTCCCTTCAATTTAAAAAAAAAGTAAATAGGTAAATCCAAAAACTGATGATATTGAACTGTTACATATAAGTAGTTCATGGTACCACCAATTTTTCTGAACTACAGACTTTTTTTTGACAGTTTTTCCTTGTCCACCTGTAATGGTGTGGCACTCATGCTGACTGCACATTTGAATCAACTAGGAAAGGGACTGGAGCAATAGCACATCTGAGTGCTTGTCTTACATGTGGTCGTCCTAGGTTTGATCTGCAGCATCCCGTATAGTTCCCTGAGCCTTGCTAGGAGTGATCCCTGAGTGAAGAGACGGGAGTAAGCCCTGAGCACTGCTGAATATGGCCCAAAAGCTCCCACTCCCAACCCCAAAAGAAGAAGGATCATTTAGGAAGCTTTTAGGAATTGGGAGGGAAGGTTAAGGTTTCTCAAGTGGTGCTCAGGAGGCCTAGAGCTCCTTCCTAATGATTTTCAATCAACCGGGCTAGTTTTATTGCAAGGATAAGCTATGTTGCCACATTCTACTTGTAGTACTTAGGATAGCATGTTTTTCTCGGAATCGAACCTAAGGCTCCAAAATGCAAAGCAAAAACTTCAGCCCTTTTTAGCAATCTCCCCAACCTGTTTCTCAGGGGCCTGGGTCTGTGCTCAGAAGATCATATGTGATGTAGAGATTCTGGCTGCAGCCACGTGCAAGACAAGTGCCCTAACCTTTATATTATATTTCTCTGGCTCTGTTTTTCATTTTGTTTTGAGGCCACTCACCATTAAGGGCTTACTCATGTTGAGCCTCAGGGAACCATTCATGGTACTGGGAATCCAACCTAGGTCTCTATATGACCCTATTTGTAAGAGGGAAAAAATAAACAGAGACTGAAAAGATAATACAGCAGGTATGGCGCTTGCCTTGAACACAACTGACTCAGATTTAATATGATCCCCTGAGGACAGCCAGGAGTAATTCCTAAATGCAGGGTCAGAAATAACCCCTGAGCATTGCCAGGTGCAACCCAAAAATAAAAAAAATAAAAACAGTCTTATGACAATTTGAAGCTTGAAAAATAAGTTAACTTAAAATAAAAAAATTTTTTTTGTTTCTGTGGTACACCTATCAGTGCTCAGGGATTACTTGTGGTTCTGTGCTCAGATGACACTCTTGATGGTGCTCAGGGGACCACATACATGGTGCCTAGGGATTGAACTTTTGACATGGAAAGTATGCATTTAGCCTTTTGAGCTATCTCTCGTACTCCACAGTGAAGTTTCCAGTCCAGAATGAGAGTACAGTGGTTAGGGCTTTTTCCTTACATGTGACTGATCCCCTGTTCTATTCCTAACATCTATATGGTTCCCCAAGCACCCCAAGGATTCACGCCTGAACACTGCCAAATGTAGCAGTGTTCATTCCCATTCCTACCCCACCCCCAACTCCCGAAAGAAAAAAGAATTTATTAACTGGATGGTATAAGTTGTTGTTGCCAGTTGAAGAACATAAGATCTTTGGAACTGGAGCAATAGTACAGTGAGTAGGGTGCTTACCTTGCATGCAGCCAGCCTGGGTTTCATCCCTGGCACCCTATTTAGTACCACGAATCCTGCGAGGAGTGATCCCTGAGCACAGAGGCAGGATAAGCCCTAAACACGACCAGAGGTGGCCCAAAAATCTAAATAAAGCAAGACAAGGTCCTTGCCCTTCCTCATTCTCTTATATTGGCTCCACTGTCTCTCCACAGGTCTTGGTGACATCACACAGCAGTTGAATCAAAGTGAATTGGCAGTGTTACTGAATCTTCTGCAGAGCCAAACTGACCTGAGCATCCCTCAGATGGCACAGCTGCTTAACATCCACTCCAACCCAGAGATGCAGCAGCAGCTGGAGGCTCTGAACCAGTCCATCAGTGCCCTAACAGAAGCTACTTCCCAGCAACAGAACTCGGAGCCCGTGGCCCCAGAAGAGTCTTTGAAGGAGGCACCCCCTGGCCCAGTGGTCCAGTCAGAACAGACAACCTCTGAAGCTTCAAGCACACCAGCTGACATGCAGAATATGTTGGCAGTTCTCTTGAGTCAACTGATGAAAACCCAGGAGCCAGCAGGCAACCTGGAAGATAACAACAGTGACAAGAACAGTGGGCCACAGGGGCCTAGAAGAACTCCCACAATGCCACAGGAGGAGGCAGCAGGTAAACAGACCGGTCATGAATCTCATTGAGCTCAGGTGCTGTTGATCCTCTTAAAAAATCTTTAACAGTTTCTTTTTTACATCAATGCCTCAGTTTCAGTTTCTCTGTAAAAAAAATCCTAGTCTACAGGAAAAACATAGCACCAAGTGATGTATTTCTTGTGAAGCTTCTTTTATTAAGTCTCAAAACACTTTTCAGACACTGATTAATTTCCCATTTACTAGGGACTAGGTAAGTAAATACCCTTTGTTTTAATGCAAGGAACCCATAACTTGCTGGTGGTGCATCTTGGACCACTCTAAGCATGGTGGCCAGCTAGTACTAGGCACATGAATATCAACTTTTCAAACCATTATTACATCTATTCTAGTGTAGTGGATGCTGGATACCAGAGTCTTGCCTGGAAGATACAGTCAAGAAAATCCTAATGAAATACTATTAATCTCCTCAAGAATAATTTAGGAATATTTCTAAGTAGATAGACAACATCATACATTTCATTTCCAAAAAGATATAGCATAAGTAAATGATTTAAGTGTTGTTTCCTAAAACCACTGAATGAACCACAGATTAGGAAGTGAGCAATTTATAAAGAAAAATACCCAAGAAAAAAATATATGTCTTGAGCTCTTGTGACCACAGCGTGAATTTATGTAAGAGGAAAAAGAAGTTAAAATTTTCTTATCAACTTGGAAATTTTCATTATCTGTGAAGATACCATGAGGTGGGGAAGGAGATGAGGCGCAAGGTACACTGATCTTCAACTTTAGGGTCCTACATTGACATTTCATATGAGATGGTGCAGAAAGTGCATTTCCACTTGTACAGGTCAAATATATAAACTATTCTTCATATAAAAAACTTATTAAAACTGGAAAGTAATCAAGTAAAATAATTCCCCTTTACAGACAAGGAAACTGCTATCCTCCAGGGAGCTCACATAAGTCTTCCTGTGTTCTCATTTTTACCAGATAGCTCAGTTTCTTAATTTTTTTTTTTTAATGAATGTGTTTGTTTTGGTTTTTGGACCACGCCTGGTGGTGCCCAAGGCTTTCTCCTGACTCTGCACTCAGAGATCACTCGTGGCAGGCTTGGGGGGCCCATATGGGATGCCGGGGATCGAACCCGGATTGGCCACATGAAGGGAAGCAACTTACCCACTGTATTATCACTCCAGCCCCTATAAAGTATCTTTTAAGTCATTTTTTTAAATTGTGTTGCTAACAGTTCTTTTTGAAGAAACTATAAAACAAGGAATAACAACAAAAGTGCAAATTTAGAAGTTAGGCTGATCCCCTTGTGTCTTACCTCTTAAACCCTGCTTCTCTCCCCTGCAGCCTCTCAGGAAAAATTCAGCTCAAATCAAATTCCTGGAAAGAAGTGGCTCAAAGTAAATAATAAGTGATTGATATTTACCTTTGACTTAAACCAGAAAGCTATCAGCAAATGGTTAAATTAACTAAAACTAAGGAATTAAGGTCTGGCCTATGATCAGAAATTGTTGGTTTTCTGTTTCAGAAGAACGTGAAAATGTCACTCCTGATTTTTACAGTCATGCCTGGATTAACATTACCAGTTGGTGTTTCCCATGCCCTTCTTACTCTAATTTCTTCCCAACCTTCTCATATTTTGTTTGCCATTTTGTTTTCTCATATCACTCATTATCACTACCACAAGAGGGCAGACTAAACTAGCCACAGAGGATTACTATCACTTTTGCTACCACTTAACTTTACTTGTTGAAAAAGGGCTTTGTTTGAAATTCAGTGAGTCAACTGAAAAAAATTATAAGTTATTTCTACATTTCATGAAGGCTTTCTTTAGTATGTACTGAAATGTTATTAACATTTTCAATCATAAAACAGTGCATTTTTTTAAATGTGATCTTTATTTTTAAATCATCTTGGAGTAAAGTCGATTAACTTAACTGGGTACCAAAGAGATAGTAAAGGGGTTACTTGTCTACTTGCAGCCTGATTCAGTCTCAACACTAAGAACTTCCGAGAGTGAGCACAGAGCCAGGAATACTTCCTAAGCATTGTAGGGTATGGCTCAACCTACGCCCTCCATAATTTTATTAATTACAAGCTAATGATTCTTTTCAGTTACCTGATATTTCAACTTTGAAATTGTTTTAATCCATGCATGTGAAAGAATTTGATCTCAAAATTAGTTCTGTTGAAACATAAATAGGCTATTTACATAAGTCCGATTTAAATCTGAAAAGTGGGATACTGCTAAAGAATATAAGCTTAGTTTTGCCCATTTTTGCAGTAGACATTTTTAAAAGCTTTTTGTCCTCAGTATTTAACAAAACAAAACTGGTATTCCATTTCGCGAACATTTCAAAAGTATACTTTCATGAGTTTTTTTTTTTTGGGGGGGGGGTGTGGATGGGTGCCAAGAATTTGATCCTGGGCCTTATACATGGGGAGCATATGTTCTACCACTGAACAAATACTATCCTGATAAATACTTGGGAAAATATCTGGTTCTGCGATGTTTTTATGTAGTAAGATAATGTAGTATTTACAGCAATAAGCTCTGAAGTCTATAGATCTTTGTGATATAGCTTGCTCTCTTTAAGGAGTTTCACTCTCCAAGATGTGAGTTTTCCATAACTAAGTTTCATTTATTTATGTTTTATTTTTCCTACCACCTAGTCATCCAGCAGTCAGTCAACAAGTAATTGAAGTAGGTGCAGTATCCACATAGGGTAACCACCTTTTCACTGGACTGTACTGGTGTGTCTGTGTGGATGTGAATGGGTAACGAGATTGTCACTGGACTATATTGTTTGTATGTGTATGTATGACATATCCATTTGGGTAACCAGCTTGCCATTGGGTATGGGTGTGAGAGAGCGAGCGAGCGAGAGAGAGTGTGTTGTATCTGTGTTGGGTAATCAACTTACCATTGTGTGTGTGTGTGTATAGGTGGGTAGATGTGGGTGGATGTGTGGTAGGGGTGTATGTTTTACTGGAGATTGAGCCAGGGGCCTTAAACACCTGAAACATGTTCTCAACCACTGAGCCTCACTTTTGGCTCATTCAGTTTTAAAACTGAAAGTTGGCAACATGGGAACCTCCTCAGTCCTGGCAAACTGGGACTATTGGTCAGCCTACCTGTATTTCACTTACAGCACCTGACTTCATCTTTTTTCTGTGTAACTTTATGATTTTGCAGTGTTTTCTGCGTGTTTTCATCTGCACACTAAGGGAATGTATACACTCACGCCTATGCAAAATGTAATTGTGGTAAATAAGCTACCAAAATATCTAATTATAACAAGATTTTTTTTTTTGTGGGTCAGAGTAATGACTTATATCACTTGCTCAGATAATAAAGAATTGATCTTATGGACATTTAAAATATATTCTTCTGTAGGGTACCAAAAAAATAAGTCATTTGAAAAATAACCCAAAACATTAATTCTTTTTTTTCCAGCAGAGTGACTCCCAACTTGCTAAAGGCACTGTTTGACTCTACTTGGTTGTATATGTCTCAATTTTTTGCCATTTCACAGCTCTACTCTACTCTCGGGGGCAAGAGTTCTTATCTGATAATGATTGCCATGGTTAGGCAAATTTAGATATTAGTGGTATAGAGTGGAAAAAAGTTTGAGAAGTGGTTAAAGATAAACACATGGTCTTGGAAAGACAGAGTATACTATTACTACTTCAGTACATTTTAAAATCACTTCTCATCACTGTCTCCAAGGAAAACATATTTATATCAACATCCCATTCTGCATGACATTGCTATAGTGGAAAAATACAGGAGATTGGAAAACAAAATATTTATATTACTATAACATAGGAAGCTGAATAACAGTATAGTTGCTAATATCCCTTACGTTAGCATGTTATTTTGGGAACAGGGGGCTGAAGTTTGGAGAAGCAAATGTATATGCATGATGGTATTGGAAGGAATTTATTTCATTTCTCCTGTATGTTCTTTTAAGTTCTGTTTCAGGTGTTAATTTTATATCATCAAACATTCTGTATAAAGTGTTAACTGAGTCCATGGAAGGTCTTCTGTTGTACAACAAGATTATGTCCTAAAAATGTGACCACTGCATATATATATATTGTTCCCTCTTCCTTCTTTCTACTTTATTTTTATTAATGTTTTGCTCCAACAGCAAAAAAGGGTCTGGAGGCTACTGTCAGCAGTCTACATATTAGAACATTTCCTTAAGGAAAAAAAATGAAGGAAATCTCAGACAAAAGTCAGGATAAGCATTTAAAGCATAATCTACACCATGTTAGATTCAGAATGAAAATTGTTTTACTTATAATCACTTGATTTTATTTATAAACTGCAATTTTATGATTCTAAGATTTTATTCTTTATATATATATATTTGGTTACTTGCATTGATATTTGTTTATGTTGGGTAGTATGTATGCGTTTGTGTGTTGTTTTTGTGTGTGTGTGTGTGTTTATAATCACATGTGACTTTTAATATGGTATTTAAAAGAAGTAACCCTTCCACAGCATGTCCTCCTCACATTCTTCCACCAGAGAAGAGGCCCCCTGAGCCCCCTGGACCTCCACCGCCGCCACCTCCACCCCCTCTGGTTGAAGGCGATCTTTCCAGCGCCTCGCAGGAGTTGAACCCAGCCGTGACAGCCGCCTTGCTGCAACTTTTATCCCAGCCTGAAGCAGAGCCTCCTGGCCACCTGCCACATGAGCACCAGGCCTTGAGACCAATGGAATACTCTACCCGATCCCATCCCAACAGGACTTTCGGAAACACTGATGGGCCTGAAACAGGGTTCAGTGCCACTGACACTGATGAACGCAACACTGGTTCAGCTTTGACAGAATCTTTGGCCCAGACCCTGGTGGTGAAGAACAGGACCTTCTCAGGCTCTGTGAGCCAACTTGGGGAGTCCAGCAGTTACCAGGGAACAGGGTCAGTGCAGTTCCCCGGGGACCAGGACCTCCGTTTTACCAGAGTCCCTATAACTTTACACTCAGTGGTCAGGCAACCATTCCTGAAGGCTGAGGGAAGCAGCAATTCTGTGGTACATGTAGAGAACAAATTACAAAACTATGGGGAGCTGGGACCAGGCACCACTGGGGCCGGCAGCTCAGGAGCAGGCCTTAACTGGGGGGCCCCAGCTCAGTCTTCTGCTTTTGGTAAACTCTATCGGGGGCCTTCAAGAGTCCCACCAAGAGGGGGAAGAGGGAGAGGAGTTCCTTACTAACCCACAGACTGTAGTGTCCTCAAAGATTCGTTTCCTATCCATACTTCTGTCCAGTACTCTGAACCTTTAATGAAATCATTTACCTGAGCAAGGTAATATTTACATTTGACTACTCCAGAGCTGTCCATTGTATTCCTTGCTCACTTGCTACAAGCAGGCAAATTACAAAATAATGATATTGGCATCAGTTTGGCAATAGCCAAATATTTGCTTCAACTCTACATAATAAATATAGGTAGAGAAAATGGAGAGGGTCATTAAATTGCAAAATAAGTGTTTTATTTATTGCCTGCACTTCTTGAGCAAAAGAGAACGAAAAGTTTGAATTTTGAGATGACTCAGGAGAGGTTTTCTAAAGTTTTGGTTTTTTTTTTTTTTTCATTGTTTCTTTGAAATTTAGGGGTTTTTTTGTTTACTTTTTTTCTGTAAAGAGAATAGTGTTCACAGGATTTGAGTTGCTCTTAGACTTTTGCTATAAGAGAAAAAGAGTGACCTGGCTGATTTAAATAAATGTTTACTTCCTCTCCACCATCTCACATTTTTTTCTTTCAAGTGAGCTTTTTTTTTTCTATTTCCCCATTGAGCATCTTTAACATACCTTTTTTCCAAATAAATTACTCATCTTCAAAATTTGCTCTGAAAAAGGTTCTAGAAAGAAGCATTCTTGGGCAAGTAGGTAGACTTCCCACCTCTTCACTTAAAAAAAAAATCTCATCTTTAATGTTTCTCTCTTCCCATTTCCCTATTTCTCTTTCTTTTGAGACATTTATTTGGAAAAAAAAAAGTTGTTGAGATGCCCAAATACCTGGGATGATTTTTTTTTAAATAAAGGAAAGGAAATTTAAACATCCTATATTGTTCTGTAACTCTTCAATTCTAAAATGCTTTTTTTGTTTTGTTTTTTTAAACCATGTTCTGATGGTGAAGTTGACCTATAAATGCAGACAACCTAGGACATTGCAGCTGAGCTGGGGTTAGAGATGATAGAGGTAATGTCTCCTTATCTAGAGGGCTAGTAAGAGCAGTTAGCATATTGTTTACACATATTTTTATGTCAAAAAAGAAAACAGCTTTGAAACAGAGCATTGTAATATTGTCAAAGAGAAAAAAATTGAAAATACATGGGACTGTAACATAGGGTGAATATTTTTCTGAAGCTGTATGAATACGTGAGACCTTTTTTAAAAAATACTTTTAAAAGAGCAGACTCAGAGTAAGAACAGTATTGACATATGCACATCTCAGCATTTATATCCTGCCAATTCTTTAGGGATTTTCCTCCAGAGAGATTTGATTGTGGTTTTGGGAAAAGGAGGTTGATTTCATGGCAAGAACTTTGCCTTATTATAAACAGGAAATGGAAAAGGGAAAGGTTTTCTGGATGGGATAACCTCTGGAGTGTTCTCATTCTGGCTTCCATTTCTTTGTGAGTACCAGCACATAGAGTGTTTTAAAAACAAACACATTCATATAAATTATCTGCACAGACTTAGACCTTGGTGAAATGTTGATATAGCCCCCCTTTTATAAGGAAAAGGCAAACATGTTTCAGGATCTTGAAGAATAGTTTTCTGAATTCAAGTAACATTTCATGTTTAAATGCCAAGTTCTTATATTAAAAAAATAAAAACTACTTGTAAGAGAAAGGTACACTAACAATAATAATAATAAAAAAATGAAAAGAAGAACCTCTTCAGATACTTACATGAAGACCATTTCCCCTGTTACTGGGATAGGTAGATATCCAGTGTGTGTACTTCATCATTTCATTTTTGGTCTGGCCATACCCTCAAGGCCAAACACTGATTAGAAAGAAAACCTAGTGATTTTGGCATTGATGGCTTTTTTATACCAGTGTGTTGAGCTAAGATTTGCTAGACTCACATATTACTGGTAAATTTCATTAAAATTCATCAGAACTTTTTGTCTGTTTACTTAGTCCTCAGACATGGCCTTTATATTTTAGAATATTTGAGTTTGAGGCATTGGGTCCCATTGTCCCATTTTTTTTGATTAAAGAACTTAATCCTGAAATACTTTCAGAAGTATTCAACTTTAAAAAAAATGGTTTCCCATTAAATATGAATAAAATTCTCTACATATTTTAATTATATTTTGGTTATGGGCAAGCAACAATATTTTTTTTCTGCCCTTTATTTTTAATTATGCCAAATACTCCCAATATGCTTTATTTTCCATGCCCATCCCTAACAGGGAGATGGGGGTTTTAAGTTTGCATGTGTGTGTGTGATCTCATCTCACTCCCCACCCTCATTCTGGGAGTCTGACCTTTAAAGTGAAAAAAAAAAAAAGTTTGGTAACTTTGACTTTCTGAAAGGAGAGTTTGAAAAAGGAACTTACTTAAAATACTCTGGAATCTGTGGAGAAAGAAAAGGTATTAACTATTCAGCTGTGTTACCTATAAACATGATGGAAGTAAAGGTTTGGCAGAATTTCAACTTAACTAGAAATTACAAGCCAAATTCAAAAGTGGCTTGGGTTTTGTTTGGTTTTAATTATTGTACCATAGGAGATACTAAGTCCATTAAATACATTAGTTTGAACAGATGAAAAAATCTGATTCTGTTCATGAGGCAAAACTAGTACGGCTATTATATTATTTTTACACACCCCCCCCCCATAACAAATTTACTTGCCCCAGTTTGCTTAGTGTCCTTTAACTGTTCATAGGACTGACAAGGATTTAAGAGTGGCATCAGATTATATGTTTGAAAGCAGGTCAGTTAGCACAAATTTATAAGTAGGATTTCTGTTAGACATCATCCAGCCACTGTGTGTGTATGTGTGTGTAATAGTTACAGTTCTAAATGGTTACCAGCAGGTTTTGAGAGAGAAAGCTGCATCAGATAAGTGTCAGTTGCCACCTCATTTTCCTTGGTTTAGTTTCCTGACACTGTATATTCCTTTCTCTCTCATTTTTGCCCCCTCCATTGGGTGTATTTTGTCTGTGTACAGATATTTTGTAATATATTAAATTTTTTCTTTCAGTTTATAAAAATGGAAAGTGGAGATTGGAAAATTAAATATTTCCTGTTACTATACCACTTTTGCTCCATTGCATTTACTTCTAAATCTGTATCATCTGATCAGATCAAATGTATAAAGGGCATTTTTTTCTCCACTTTATCTTAGGGGTTCTTGATCTTAGTATTGCCGTATGTAGACTTAAAGACTAACAAAGGGGGAAAATGTCAGGGTTTGAATAGGTGCTTTAAAACAGGATCTAGGAAACAAAAGAAAAAAATAGTTGGGAATATTATAAGGGTTTTTTTAAATAGAGAACAATTACACAAATAATGGTGGTGCAAGACCATCGAGTTGAGCTTCATGTACCCCAACTCCTGAAAGGATAGGTAAGTGGGTTTAAGCTCAACAAGAGTCAAAGGAAGTTAATAATGAGGTTGCTTAGATAAGAGGATTGTCTTCAAGCCCTAGCTCCTGAGTAGGGCCTGCAATGGGCATTGGTGTTCCTAATTTTGCTTAATAATTTTCTGATGCATTGTGAGACTAGGAATTGAGTCCAGGTTGTTGATAAGGGTAACATTCTCTAAAATCTTTACAATTGTATCCCAAGAAGAAAATTACTTTTACTTCTTCCATAGTACAGGACAGTTAAATGTTGCCACTTGTTAAGGTATCAGTAAGCAGAGAGCATAAATTCATCAGGAGTCAGAACTGAGATCAGATTCAGGCATCAGAAAGGGGTGAGTGTGGTAAGCAGTTGTAGGGTAGAGGGGAAGGATAGGGTACATCAAAACAAGAGGGATTAAGAAATTGAATTAAACTGTTGATGAGGGTTTGTCAGCCTTATTTTTTTAGTCCTCAAATTTCGAGCTGCCAGAGGGCTATCAAATTGTTATGCAGGAGAATGGAGAGCTCAAGATTGTCCCAGTCCCTGGTTATCCTCCAGAGAAAAGGAATTTTGTTTTCCAGCTTTATAGGTTCATGACTGAGAGTGTAATCTTTATTTTACTAGAGAATATTGTTTCTACTTCATAGTGTCACTTTTTCCAAACCTGAGCTAAAGGCTGAGGCCCAGACCTGGGCTTTTTCTCAGTCACATTCCAGATTATTTTCTAACTAGAAACCATAGCATTAGATATGTGAATTTTTTAGGCATTTTCTGCCTGGCCCCTCCATACTTGCATCCCTTATTGATAAGGTTAACACCTCTAGGAAGTTAATGGTTAATGTTCTTAGAGTTGAACTAGGGTTTACATTGTTATTAAAATTGCCAGCGTCCCCCTCCCCCACCCAACTTGGCTAATTTTTAGGTATTCAGTTACTTCTGTGTCTACTATTTAAGTCATCCTGGAGAGCTCAGCTGGTAAAAGTTAGGAGTTCTTCTGTTTGTTTTAAAAAGTGAAAACATTTCAAGTTTTTCATGTGGGGTAAATGTTGAACCATTCCAGGGGAGAGAAGGAACTGCTAGTATTCATGATTGGCATGGTGAGAATACCTGGACAATTTGGCTAATTTTACTGTTACTTATGACATTTTTCATCAAACAAAATAGCTGAGTACCTATAGCCTTAGGAACATCACGAAGTAAAAGTTCACTCCAAGCCAAGATTGACAGGTTTGTAGGGAAGTATGGTACCTGCAGGAATTTGGGGGAGTGGGGGTATGGGGCACCCCAAGTGTTCCTTAGGGCTTACTTTTGGCTCTGCACTCAAGGATCACTCCTGACAGGGTAGGGGCAACATTTGGGGTTCCAGGGATTAAGCCCAGATCAGCTGCTTACAAGACAAGCGCTTATCCACTGTAGAATTATTGGTGGTACTCTCCACCTCCTGTCCACCTACTTCATTTCCTCTCTTCTATTCACTATCCAACTCATAGTTGAGGCCTACCAGGATGTTGATTATTTAATCTCCTGCAGGATAAAGTTACTGTACTTCACATATTTGAAAGGTGATACAAGACAATTCAAAAGATCCTCAATATTCCAGGTCCTCACCTTATTTCAGGAGGTGAAGGAAAAAGCAAAATGACCACACTTTATTTCTGTTAAGAAGGAAGCTTTTTTGTTGTGGGAAGAAGAGATTCTTTTACTACTCTAGAAGCAGGTAGCCTCAACCTTCACCTTTATCCTCTTCTCTCATATCCTGAGACTTGTTTTTGCAGATGACATTTCTAAGCTCAGTTGCAGATGGTGTCTGTGGGAAGTAAAGCTTGGTGAGAGAGAGGGCCCTGCTATCCATCAGAAAGCAGATGAGAGTTGCTTTGCTACCCTGATGAGTAATTAATGGGTGTCAGAAACATTTTGGCCACTGAATTGTTTGCATATCTGAAAATTAGACTTCAATACTTTCAAGATGGGTTACTGTTAGCAAAGCTCTCAGTATGCAACCCTTAGCAATAGCATATTTCTCTGGAGTAGGAGGGCTAGGAAATTAACTCAGTTAAATAAAACTGCTCCCCCAATCTCTGAAAATACATGGATTTTTGAATGTTTTGCTCTGACATGGTGGTTAAGATACAATTGATGGTTCTTGAAAGAAGTATCAAAGTCAAACTGGCAAGCTGGGGCTCAAGTACAAGAGATCTTTGAAAGGCTACAATGTATCAGTCAGCTTAGAGAAGGAAATGTATCTGTCAGAGCTTGGGCAGTGTTTTGCTGTTGTCTGTATTTTTTACCTTATGCATGTCTGAAGGGGTATTTGAAGTATAGAGTCTCCCTTCAGTGTCCCCTGCTCCAGCCTCTTGTCTGCAGAAGTACTGCAGTACCCAGTGAAGATATCCTTCATGAGGATCAATTTATACAGTGATGGCCTTCACCTTGAAAACTTTTGGCCTTAGATATGAGGCTGAATTCAAGGACGGCAAAAGCTCAGGATCCTGGTCCCCTTTCATAAATGCAGGCACCTCCAAGTCTGGCCTTGCACTGGTGCTTGGACTTGTTAGGGGACCAAAGTTCTCATAAAACTGCAATATGAGGAGATCAAAATAAAAAGAATAGAGTAGTCTGGTAGTTGGACTGCAGAGAGACATTTAGGGCATAACTGTGTGTAAGAGAACATAGTAGGGTACTTAAAGGTTAATGTCTCATTTCAGGGAGACCCCCCTCCATAGATGTGAGTACATTTCCCTTTGTAATGGGCCTAGAATTCTTAGATCTTTTCACTAGGGAAGCTAGATTATATTTTGCTCAGAACTGCATAGTTTAAGAGAATAATTCAGATACATGGAAGGAATGATGCATGCATTGTGTTGAAAAGTAATTTGCATTTTTTGAGTTTGAAAACTCAAAAGTGGTTCTGTGTGTTTACGTCACCTTGGAAACTGGTACTATTCCTTTCCTCTTTGTTTTAGATCGAAGCAAAGGTAAGGCATAGAAGAGCAAACAGATCAGAATAGATAGACTCACAGAATGTAGGGCTACAATAGGACATTAATTTGTCTCCTTAACTGGCATTTTGGGTATGAGGGATGAGAGGGTGTCCAATGGGTTGAATGAAAGAAGGACAAGAAAGGGAAGTAGTTTTGATCTACCATGTCAGATACTGTGGTAAGCACTTTTATTATTTTGGGGGGAAGGGGTTGAGGCCCACACCTGGTGGCACTCTGGCTATTTCTGGCACTATACTCAGAAGTGAGCCCTGGCAGTGTCAGGAGACCCGTATGTGATACTGGAATTAACACTGGGGTTGGTGGCAGTCAAGGCAAGTGCCTTCTCCCACCACCACCACCCTGTACTCTGGCCCTATTATATTTTTTCTTAAGTCCTTGAAGCTAAGAGATGAAAAGAATAAGAGGCAAATTCCTCATTCTGAGCATTATATCAGAGATAAAGGGGAGGTAGAAACTAACCTTTTCCTGTCTGATCTCCCAGTGCTAAACTAGAAAAGTGAGGTTTATCTAAGAAAGTATTTGCTGTAGTTGAGACTCTTGAACAACTTCACTATTCAGAGACCCCTCTACAAAGAGAAATAGCCTAAAGGCAAAGGAAGGGTAGTAGGAAACAAGATTATTGTTGGCTCTGGGATTTTCACTCTAGAAAATTTGACCATGACCTGAGAATATAAAATTAATGTTAGACATTGGAAGTGGGGCTGGGTAGTAACGCAGTTAAGGCACTTGCCTTGCGTACAGCTGACCCAGGTTTGATCTTCAGCACCTCATACAGTCCATACAGCACCACCGAAAGTTATCCCTGAGGACTGTCAGGTGGGGCCATAAAAAGAAACTTGGAACAAAATGGGGCTTCTCATCTTAAAGAGCATTCAAAGCAAATTGTGTTTGTATACTATGAATTGAGGTAAATTTCTTTGGTGAAGAGGCTTGTTTGGATTTTGTCTTATAACACATTTCGTTATTTTGGAAAGATGCAGTGCCAGGTTCAGTGTTAGTAGAGGAACGTGACAGCCTGAAAATTGACGAGAGACTAAATTCCTCATAGATTTTTTGATATGATTTCCCAAGAGAACCCGGGAGAGCAGCTCTGCTAGAGAGCAATAAGAGCAGAATCAGGTTCAGAGAACAAAGCAGTTTCTGGAAAGGGTTAGTGGAGGATCCCACTCTGGGAAATTTCAGAATCTAGTGAGAGAAGTCTTATGCCTAGCTGGGAAGTGGGGAACTGCTACTTGTCAACACGCTCGTGGACATCATAAAATAATATCCAACACAGAGGAAGCCAAAGTAAATAAATGCTCAGAAAAATCGGGTTTAACCAGAGAGGATTCTTTGAAGTTCATGAAGAGAGGAGTACAGAAGTAAGGAGGGTGGTTGAAGAAACTGGAAGAAGGTTCATATGTGTTTTGTGCCAGAGGGTGGTGAATGTACTAGCAGGGACAGGAAGCCCAGCAAATGAAGTGGAGGAACAGTCTCGTTGGCCTGAGAAAATTGAATTTGATGTGGCAAACACTAACAGGGAACAACATGCTAAACATGGTGGGGAGGATTTCTGTAGCTCTGCTAGTTCAAAAAACAGGAGAGCTTATTAGCATCTTAACTGTTGTCCATCCAAACGTAAGGTCCCACTGGTCTGCACTCAAGACCAGGGGAATGTGAAGGCTCCAAGTTCAGACTTAAGCAAGGC